TTTAGATACGTAAATTTCGAATGCTCTTGATACAAATGTACTTTCGTTATTGGGTGATTCATAATTTCGTTTATTTTTTTTGAAAAAAATTGTTAATATTTTGTTATTAAATGTTGTTTTTTTTGATAATTTTATCGTTTTTCGTCTTTTTGGTTCTAATCATTTGCGTTATTTCAAGTGTATTTGTAAATGATAATTATTTATGCTTATTTGCGTTTTCAACGGTTTAAACGATAACAAAAATATGTCTGAGCAAAGATGAGATTCAATTTCTCATATATAAATATATATAATGTAGTATTTGTCAAAAGAGAAATAAACGAACGTTGTAAGTGAATAATACAGCCATCATATATGTGCGACATTTTTATTTTATATTTATTAGACTTAAAACTTGGTTATACAGAGTTTTCGTCGGGTAACGATGAGATATTGCCGTAAGACATTTGTGTACAATCTTTGCCTATGGTGGCAGGTACATTTACAAAAGTGTAAAGTGAACCAAACAGTGTTTTTTTGCGTTCGTGTACTTATTTTCCGTTCCTTTTTGTGCAAAATAAACGCAGTATTAAATTTTTACAAAGAATTCTGTAACAATAAATTTTTTTTTGTATGAAAGAACACGACTCACACCAAAGTTCTTAACAACTTGCCTTCAAAAGTATACGATATAGTTTTACAAAGCTCTTACACGAACAAAATGAGAAGGGCATTAATCATGTATATAAAAATTATCAGTAAGCATTCAAGATAAATTAAATATTAATACTTGAAAAGAATCTGAACAATTTTTCAAGCTCTATATTTTTTACTTCACGTTATAATGAATATTCTATTTGTTTCTATCAATCTACATATAGTAATGAGTTTTCCTTAAATTGAGATAGCATTCTTTTGAGGTATTGGGGATTAGATAATGAAGCGACATTTATAAGCAGAGGTTAGATGTAAATGATGTTCATAAACTTAAATTCATTGTTTCTATCCTTGGCAACATTTATGGCACGGTATATAAAATGGGAGTGAATTACATCATGGGGTGTTTGTTACAATTATCATACTGATTACTTTCTCGTACATTGTCCCATTTACTAAGAATGTGATTCATAAATTTAAATATCACAATTCAATGTTAAGAGGAACAAAGATTTAATTGAAGTTTAGTTTCATTAATTGTTTATGCAAGATTGATTAATAATTACTTTTCACTGTTAAAAAAAGTAATTAAGAAATCTGATGTATGATTTTAATGACGCCTTTATGATTATTAATAACAATTTTTCAACTTTAAAATAATACAATAGCAATTAGTATTTTGAAATAAATAAATTCTTGATTTTTCACGAATGTTAACTTTCGTTAATTAAACCATTCTTCACTAAACATCGTTAAATAATTTGGAAAGTCAGCCACAAAAATTAAAAAGTAATTAACTTACAATGTAAAACCATAAATCTAATTATATTAACTTATTTATCATCTATAAAAAATCATTAGAAAAATATAAATAAAAAGTACTCAAGCAAAAGGAAGTCTGACTTAAAAATATCACAGTCAAGCATAGTTCAAACAACGAGAAATTATACTAATTACGCTGGCTATATTTCATATTTTAATATTCGCATCATTAATACGTTTGATTTTTAAACGTCGTACGTCAGCAAAAGCTCGACGCGTGTGCAATTTTTAATTTATTGATTGTTTTAATTCATTTTTTTAAGATCGTAAGAAAGTATCAAATCACAGTCGTTTCACACGTATGATTCCTACTTAAATTGAAAAAACTGCTCTCAACAATCGGAGGAACATGCGTGAAACGCGTAAAAATTCTTTTTTAATAAATTTATAATTGACAATCACTATTCATCTTGTCTTCAGTCACCAATTTTTTATTTAAATCTCCTAAACGTAGATATAGCAAATGAGAGAGTGAGAGAGAGAGAGAGGCGCGTTTCAGCCGCTAATCTATTTACACGCTGCGGGGATATCACAATAATACGTGTATACGCACGCGTTGGGGGAGCGCGTGATTTTCGTGCAAGCTCCCGCGAGCGCGCGTAATCCGGATATAACGATCGTCAACACGAGAGAGAGAGAGAGAGAGAGAGAGCGAGAGAGAGAGAGAGGGAGAGAGGGAGAGAGAGAGAGAGAGAGAGAGAGAGAGAGAGAGAGAGAGTTCCAGAAGTTGCAAAAAAAATTAAAGAGCCCAACAAATAGCGTAAAAAAATAGAAAGAAAGTACCAAACATCGCGGAATAAGAATGAGAGAAAGAGAGAGAGAGTGCAACAAATGGCATGGTTAAGAGACAGAGAGAGAGAGAGAGAGAGAGTTCCAGAAGTTGCAAAAAAAATTAAAGAGCCCAACAAATAGCGTAAAAAAATAGAAAGAAAGTACCAAACATCGCGGAATAAGAATGAGAGAAAGAGAGAGAGAGTGCAACAAATGGCATGGTTAAGAGACAGAGAGAGAGAGAGAGAGAGAGAGAGAGAGAGAGAGAGAGAGAGAGAGAGAGAGAGAGAGAGAGAGAGAGAGAGAACAGAGACAAAAAGAAAGCAATTTTATTAAATCTAATTAATTTTAACTTACCTGCGTTGTCAATCCATTGCTTGTGGCGGTTTTCCTGAGTCGATGCATCGGGGAAGCGAAAAAGTTGATGACCGCTGAGCCTAGAATTGTTACATAGTCTGTACTGGCAAAAATCGTACGTTTTCGCCATCGTGTACGATTGATTGCACGTTCACTTAATCACTTTTCACGCACTGTTATCACTGTTCACTCACTTTTTTCACTTTTTACTCACTATTTTCACTTAAAGCACCTTAAGATAACTATTATCGAGAAAACTTTTATCACAAAACTATTATCAAGAAAACTTTTATCACTGGCCCTTAGTATGCGCACGTAGGTGCCAGAACGACAATGATAGATTCGAGCGCGAATTGACAGCCGATACTCGGTCACATTAATAACCGCCAAAACAAAAGAAAAGGGCATTTAAAAAAGGCGGTTAATATGACAATTCAAATTACAATACGAACTGGGAGCTTGAATAACAAGTATTTCTAAAATGTTGAAACATTTAAATGATTAGTATTAATTAATGATAAAACATTCGATAGTAAGCCAAATTATGTATAAAAACGAAAAAAATCTATTATATCCGTCTTGTAGATGTTTAAAAAATAAAAGACACGTATTTTTTGTTTATTTAATCAATCAAAAACTGGCCGAGAAAGAGCGCGATAAAGCTTTCCGTGACGTCACGATAACATAGCATTTGCATATATCCGAATAATCGTGGGTACCTTTGGCACGCTGTAACTCAGTCAATTTTCTATTGATCGAAAAAAGAAAAAATACGTGTCTTTTAATTTTGTAAAATCTACAAGACGGATATAATGGAATTTTTTCGTTTTTTTACATAATTATGCAAATAATCAAAGTAATATTATTAATAAAGGAGAAAATAATTTATAGGAGTGGCGTATACGTGAAATAAGGCAATGACTGTTAACTGTTATGCGATAGTGTTGTTTAGTTTTCTATATAAACAAAAGTATATTGATATATCTACGTTACCCATTTATATTATTTGGATGTAACATCTGTATATGTATACTATAAAAGCTACAATTTATTAAGCTTAACTTTATATGTATACTATAAAAGCTATAATTTATGAAGTTGCTTATTAAATTGATTTGTTTAAATTGAATTGATGTATTAAATCATTAATATTAACGCGTGTATTATGTTAAAGCACGCAGATTAACAGAAGAATGCTCAATTTGCAAAGTATCAATTCTAGTAATTATCGAAACGCTATTGACTATAATAAGACGTGTGATCTTTAAAATATTAACGTCAATGTCAGATGCTTTCTACGTTCGAAATTTGAAGTCAAAACACGTGTACCAATGTGTTCTCTGGACATAAAATCAATATTATAACCGTTCAAGAAATAAATATTATTTCTCATTACGATTATGTACCTGAAAAAGATCAGTCGGTAGTATAAATTTACACTTTTGTGTGATAATACCCTGTCAAAAGGAACTGCATCCTCATACCCAGATAATTAATAAGAGCTGTATAAATAGACATGAGTTATTTTCTGAAAGAACCTTTATAAATTATATCTAAAAAAAAGTTAAAACCAAAGGAAAAACATAACATTGAGTAGGAATTGAACCCAACTCGAGACGTCGGTCTAACTTCATACTTAATGAAGTTCGAATTTATATTGAAATTATAAATATAAAAATTATGATGTATATGATAATATATTAGTTTATTAAAGTTGAATTAACTATTATTAAAGTTATATATTCATTCACTTAATGTAATGGCAAGAACGGGATAAATGGCAAAGAATAAGAAAACTTATGATTGTACTTTTTATTAATCTCGTTATCATACAAATTAATTGTGAGTTAATTGTGAGAAAAAAAAATTTTATCTATGGTATCTACGTGGACTGGAACCCGGGACGACAAAAATGAAATCAAGCAGCACGCGTTAGCCATCTCGGCTATCAACACATTAGGATTCAATTGTACGAAAGTTACATATGTTCATAGAAATGTACGAGGGTTTGTGATTAAAAAAAGGGCTTAAGTTGTAGATATTTGCTGTAATAATTAAGATATTTCGAGATATTTAATTATGAAAAAAAAAAAAAATTGCATCAAGTGGGAATCGAAGCCTTTATTCTGGTCGAAGAGAAAAGATTTGCCGAGACGAAATTCTCTTCGAGTGCTCAAACTCGCACTCTTGCTTCGCCCCGCCTATCGGCTAACGTGATTGGTCAGACGCACATTCTCTTCTTCTCCTCTGTATATTAGACGCACGTTTGGTATTCCCCTCTCGCGCCGAACGAAAATGTGCGTCAGCTTCGGTGCTTTGGCCACTACGGGGCGCTCGAACCAGTAACATTTGTCGGGCACGCTCGGAAGCATTGCCGTCAGCAATCTCCCTACTAATCTCTGCTACGGAGTCAGTCCGCCAGTCGGTCCGCGCGCCGCGTTGACGTATCTGTTCTCTCTTGCACACTGCTGCTAGAAAGACTTGCAGCAGCAGTAGCACAAACGAAGACGGAGAGCCAAGACGAACAGGAGCGAGAGATCGATCCGCGTTGCCTGGCTTTTGCCCGACAGAGAAACAGTGACGCAGTTTGTCCTTATCTACCAAGCTGCAAGCTGACAGAACGCCAAAAGATAAAAGTGCCATCACCGTGTGTTTGTTGCACCACTTGCCAGGTAGTCAATCCCTTATTCCCTTCCACTTCTCGCGGATTATGCCACACACGTACAGAGAGAGAGAAGAGGGGGAGGAGTGTATGCACTGCGGTGTGGCTAACCTAAAGTGATGTTGATAACCTAACATTGCTGCTGGTGCAACATAGCTTTACATCTTTTCTCGCGTGAGGTGGCTTTTCTTTCCAACTATCGATTTGTTTCTTTGAAACTTTCGGGAATCGCGATTTTCCTCTTGCCAACGCCCAACAGGGAAGAAGCATCAGTCTGTGCAAAAGAAAAAATTAGCCAAAATTACGTTAACAACGATCCACATTGGAATATGTTAAACGACGCGGAGACTCGTTCTCTCTCTCTTTCTCTCTCTCTCTCTCTCTCTCTTTCTCTTGCGCGCGCAATTCGTAAATCACGAGAGCCCACCGACTAAGTGTCACTCGCCCTTTGCCGCAGCAGCATTGATTCTCAGCATCGATCCCACAGCCGGCCTAAAGCTCAATTCACAAAGAGTGCATAGCATGTTTTTTTCTTCGTTTGTGCTACCCCAGAATGCAAAATTATTGTTTGAGCCTTGGAATTTATGATCGCTAGATTTGTTTTTGCATTGCTCTGAGTTTTCTCGTAATAATTGCTGGATGATTCTAATCTCTACTTTTCTCTCTCGCGATTGTACGATAACATCGTTCGTGTTGACTTGGCGAAAGCAGAAACAACTATGTCGCGTAGCTTACAATATGATTATTATCGAAAAAAAATAGCAAAAAATGTTTTATTTCTTTGATTTTCAGTTTGACTTTCACTCGACAATCGTATTTATTCTATTTTCCACAAGCTCACCTCTGGTATTGACAGAAACGCGAAGAACTGAAAAATATACATTCAAATATAGCTTCATATTTACCATACCACTACAATAAAGCAAGTTTCTTTCCAACCTGATGGGGGTTGAGCAAATGTATCAATCTAGCGTCGTATAACAGTTTTGACATTGTTACCTGAAAAATTTTGTTGATATTTTTTCACAATATTTCAGGTTCATTTCAAATTATCTTCAATAGTTCATCTTGTCATATATATTATGTTATATTCCGATTAGATTATAGAACTGTGACACCCAAAATTGAATAACTATAAAAAATAATTCGAAAAAACATAATGCGAACGCGCTTTGCTTCGTCAAGATACGTTATTCTTTATTCATCGCATGAACTTTCGTATACCGCGAAACAAGAAAGTTTGTCCACTTAAACACAAGGTACGCGTCTATTAATATCCATGCTATTTTTTTATCAATAATACAAAACTTTCCAACATGCAACCGCGGCTGCTTTCTGCAAAATTGAAAATAATCATCGAAACTCTTTTTGACTTCTTGGAATAATTATGCGTTTGAGAAGAGTTACGTAACATTTAAACAATCTCTCGATTGCCGAGCTATTTTAATTTACGATGGCGCTTGTACGACAGATGAGATCTACGCGGTTCTGTTGATTGGTTAATTTGTCGTTGTTACTGTCATGGCTTGTTCGCTCAAGTGGATGCACTCAAAGATACATTTTTCTCAGGCATTGTCCACGAATTACTGTTGTGAAACTCACGTTTTACATTGATCTTTATAAAGAAAACTATCCAATAACTGTTATAAGTTCTCCTACGATTTATAATTATCACAGCTTTTAGTTTGCAATATCAAACTTTACCGCTCTTACTCAAAAAGAAAGTAGTGTCGATTTAATTTTGAAACTCAATTGAGCGCATTTATGGGGTAAAAAGAACAGTTGCTAACCTTGAATAGGACTTTGAAGCTTAATACAAGCGCTTAATACATGCGTCGAGATAAGATGAGTGTGATTTGTAAATAAAGAAGCGAATGATTTAAAATGCTTGTTACTTTTCATTGTTCTCATCTCGAGTTATTTGATATCTCGGTAGATCAATCGAATAACACTTCTTTTGCATTTATACAGTTATAATTCATTTCGTGTGGTTGAACAAGTAAATGAGCTTTAATGATATCGTGATAAATTAACAGAGTATCGTTTGCATGTCTTTTTCCATTCGATTACCAAATTTAGATAATATTCAATCGCACTCATTTCCAAATAAATTGTTCAAAATTAAGCTTGAAATCTTTTAGAACAACCCTTAAAACAATCGGAAAATCCTTTACGTCTCCCAAGATAACAGGAGCGACTGGAATCGAATCGACTTAAAATTTGGTACAAATATTGCTGATCATAAATAATGAACCGAGTTCTTTGTACAGGTCATTCGGGCTAATGGAATGGAATAAAATATCGATAAAAAAATTAGGAATTGAATATGTTGACGAGGAAGCTAACTGCCAATGAGTTGGCAGCGTTTTTCCTTGTGCGACGAGATTCAAAATAAGAATAAAAATGTTTTTTTTCTCTTGTTGCATTTCAAACCGAGAGGCGAGTCAAGACACTCTCAGCGCGTAATTTTCAAGCATTATATAGCCGCAGTAGGCGTTTATGAAATAAACATATTGAAGGTGCAATTACACAATTGAGGCTGCATTCTTCGAAACGTTGAAATTGTAGCTTCGAGAATGACACCTAAGTAGCGAGACAGCGCGTTATGAAATTAAGAAGGTATTGCACAATCTAGCTCATTTCATTTTGCTTATTAAGATCAAAATATAATCGTCTGATCATTAATTTTCGTGGCTCTTACAACTGGTCAGATAATTATCGAACGATTAGTCAAAGGTTTTGGCGATTATTTATCGATTGAATTGAAATCGCCAATCAGACGGATTTTAAATTCATATTGCTCCTAGATTAATTTATCAATCTTGAAGTATTATTGTGGATAGTGAATCGTTGTTTAACCGACATGTTGGTCCAAATTGTTCCGCGGAATCGTTGAATGATTTCGAAAATAGAAGCGATTATCCGTCGAAAGTTTTAGATAAGTAGAAAAATAAAAAAAGAACGAATTTCTTTGTACGACACAATAAACAGATAGTCGTAAAAAGCCTATCACAAGACAAGCAAACGTTGGCCAGACGCATTTGTTTGGCTTGTAAAATTAATCGCGATAGGCGGTAGTAGAACTGCGCGTTTTAGTCATCGAGCAGGAGATATAATCCCAGAAAAGACGTAAACAGTTTGCTCGATTATCACGCGACCATCTACGCACGTGGGTTTTATTACAGATGAATTTACTACTGGCCACTCTCTCTCTCTCTCTCTCTCTCTCTCTCTCTCTCTCTCTCTGCAATTTTGTATATCAAAAGAGTTTACGTTTTGAATGGCGCAATCATTCTCTTTCACGTGTGGACTGCGAGACAAATATTTTTGTATTTTATTTTGTGTGCGTCTTGATAAATATTACTTCAGATATTCTTTCCTCAAATTCATTCTTTGTTTTTAGACTGAATCGTAAATGTTCTATATGGGCTTTTATCATTTAATTCGCTCATTCTACTGCACAAGAAAAACTTTTAAGATTCATCTACTCCTAATAGCATAATTTTATTCTGATTACTGAACGTGTAAGTTTACATTAACTTCTTTTACTGATAAATATTCCATGCGCATATTATAATAACCAAAGTAACTTAATAAGTGACTTATTTCTTTCGATAAAGTAAGCCTTATAAAACGCCACCTAACAGTTTTTACCTAAACCTATCTCAAAATGAAGCAAACCTTAAAATGATAAAAAAAGACGATGGTTTTCCACAATTCATGGTATATTTGGTTTTGAGATAAATTGTGATAAAAGGTTCTGAGTAACTTTTGTAAAGTTTATTCTATTACAGACAAAGAATGTTCGAACAAATATCTTTATCAAATCAGCTGTCAGCTAAAACATTCCAAAAGTAAGCTTGAAAAAGCTTAGTATGCTTATTAAATAAGTTTAAAATAATGAAAAAAATCGGCATGTCCTTAAAATCTGTGATATTTTACAAAGAATACATCTATAAAGTTTCAGAGTTTTCAAACAAAAAATTAATAAAAATAGAGTTTTTAATTTTTAAATCCACATAGTCATTGATACTTCATTATACATGATATTGCCAAAAAATATTAAGATTAATACATAAAAAATATTAAAACCTACTCGTAAGCACCATTATCATTTTTGAGAGATCATAGGCGTTTGGTAATGAAAACTGCTTTGACTATTCATTATATGTATGTTATTGTATGTGCGTGTGTCTGTGTGTATATATATATATCATATATTATCCGTGACATTGCCGCATCAACCACAAGGCAGTAGTCGATTATCGATCCGCATGTTATATGGTGGATGTGTGAGTATATGTGTGGTTTATGGGCGCAAGAGAGAGAAAAAGAATTTTGTCGATTCATTGGTCTGGAAAAAATTATATATATATTTTTTTGCCACGAGTGACTTTTATTATCAACATATGATTTAGAAATTCGAGTAATTGAGTTTTATGGTCGATAAAAAGTTGCAGATTGATAAATGGATTTTTATTGATAGATATGTGGAAAATATAATCGTCTTATTTTCTTTATAAAGCAGGCAACTTTACCACAGATAAACTAATATTTGGCATGATTAGAAAAATTATAAATAAGAATTCAATAGAAGAATATTATGGTAAATTGAAAAATAAAAAGCTGAATTATCTTCAATTAGTTCATTACATTTGAATTATTATCATTTAGCGTTCGCACCAATGATTGTTGTCCTAATTGAGAGCATGTGTGACAATTTTTAGTAATGAACACTATAATTATGATTGCCATACGCAATAATTTTGCATTTTTCAATCAGTCAACACGCGTCTAGCAATTCACTCAATTCCATAACTTTATATTTCAATTATCGTACAGTTTCCTACAAATAATCAACAGGATTTGCTAAAATTTGAATGGAATAACACTACCATCGACATACTTTCTCTACGTTATCACATGCTTTCGAGGCTAACAAAACCTCACGGAAAATCTAATTCTCGGATCTCACTGGTAGAGAAAAACAAAAGATAACTAGCTTACAGCTACCCAAACACAGCAGGTCTCGGATAGGTTTTTCTTTTAGTTCGTATCTCCTCTCCTACACCATATAAGATTATGCGAGATAAGTGCGACGACCGCTCGCAGAAATGAAAAGAAGGAGGAATAAAGACGGCTGAGGCGGATGAGAAAAGTTTTTATGGGAATTGGCATTGGCCAGGAAAAAAAGAGGTACACTCTCGAGACGTAAAAAATTACGAGGGGAAAAAGCGAGATCGAGAGATTGCTATTTTCTGCAAATTCCAAATCTTGCGATACTTTTGTTTGTGAATCGCCTCTCTTTTTTAAAGTTTCTATGAATACAATCAAGTTTAAGGAGTTTTCTGAAGAGAGGTATGTTTAAACGAAATGTCTGGCGTCATAAAGAATAATTCTGCGACATTGCCGTCGATATCGATTATAAAATATTCTTAGATTTCAAAAGGACTGTTAACGGTTTATTGAATTCAAGTACAAGTTCTATTGTAAATACACTTAACTGTTTGCAGGTACTTAATTAGTTTGACTTTGAAAACGATTATTATTTTTAATCGTTGATATGATTTATTTGTATCAGAAAACAAATCTCACATATGAAAATCTCATACTGAATTACATTGTTTGAAGAAAATTGCATCTAAGTATTGAACAGCTCAACAGAGTGACTTTCAAAATACGATTATCAAATTTCATTACACAAAAAATCTCTTGCGTCTCAATAAATCATGTCGAAACAACAAAAAATCTCTTGCGTCTCAATAAATCATGTCGAAACACATGTTGCTCAAAAAATAGTATGAAAAAGAAACAAGAACTATCTATTAAAAGCAACCTTATTAGCTCATCTTTAAAACTTCAAAAAAAAAAGAATCAAGTGAAGTAAGCTGTGGCCTACTTTTTTCCTTCGAGCCGTTGACCCGTCCCTGCAATGCGCCACTATCCTGATTTGAACTTCATGTCAACTTCAACAATTCAAATCCTTCCATTAATTAATCGTTGTTCTGAAATATAGTAACACAACATAAAATTTATTGCTGAATATACAGATTTACTATTATGCTTATTATAGTAAAAATATCCTTCAAATTCTTTGTAACAAAGATGATTTCGTGTTATTCATTTACATAAAAAAACTTAAGCTTTTTCAAACCGTCAATCATACGACACAAGTGAATTATTACGAAGAGCGACCCTCTAAAGTCTCACAACCTTTGGTTCAAGAACCATCAGATGTGTCCAAATCAAATATTAAGCAAATAATTAAAAGAAGACAATATCCCGTTCTCGTATAAAATTTTTGATGGTGCATAACAATTTCAGACTCGAGGTTGCGAATCGTGTTTCTATAAATACAAAAAGTAAAGAAATTCGAGTGAGGCGCACAAGCGAAATAAAAAAAAAGATCGTTTTTCAAATGATCGATAAAACTATAAAGTTCCAACAGGCGAGAAATAACATATTGATTCAACTAGGTTAATTGAATCGCGTACTAATCAGTCGTTATATAAAGCATAAACTTCTAGTTTCAGGTACACTACTATGTAAAATCATCATTAAAATAATTACATAATCGGCAAAAATTTTTCTTTGTTTCTTATGTTTGTAATTTTTCGGCTCTTAACCGTGTGCATATCGCCGCTTTCTAAATTCTAATTTTATAGTATGGAACAATTAGTATATAGTTTGATCAGTATTACATAATATTAGGCAAAGTTCGCTAATATTCAGCCAATCGATACGAAGTAAATTTTCCGAAAGCTCAAAATGTCATGATTCTTCATCTTTATTCTCAAATAAAACCCATAGATTCTCCAACAAACTATTCAATTCTAGTTTTTAATTAGCACGTGCGTCATTATTAGCAAGTAACTAATCGAAATGATCTCCAGCTGCGAAAGAGAAAACAAAAGTGATAAAGACCTGCGGCGGGAGGAAGAGAGAAAGACTTACGGGGTCAAATCAATAGGCGGTTGTATGTTACGTGTATACGTGTATGTAGAGCGCGTGTAGAGCGCATCCGCTCTCTCTCTCTCTATCTATCTCTCTCTCTCTCTCTCTCTCTCTCTCTCTCTCTCTCTCTCTCTCTCTCTCTCTCTTTCTCTCTCTCTCTCTCTCTCTCTCTCTCTCTCTCTCTCTTCTGTTTCGTTGAAAATACACGACTTGTATGCATTTATTACTTCGATTTTTTTAGTTTCACTTTATACATGTCTTTCTATAAGTCAAACTATTTAATTTTTCGATGGTGTTTTGTTGTTATTAAATTAATCGTCTGTTAAGTGAAGTTGTGGAGTTAATTATCACTTTCGTTCTGCACTTGTGAACCCCTTGGGTACTGCTTTGATTAAAGTAATGAATTAATAATTTATGTGATCATGCAGAAAATTATTATTCTTATGATTGTCAAATGTAGAGTAAATTATTTGTATCGATGCAGATAATAATTTAATACCTCGCATGGATCGATTTCTTCTAACAAGTACTGTTTATAGGCTTGAAATGATCCATTATTAATATTTAACGAGCATACCTACTATTTTTGCAATGTCGTTATACAGAACACTTACACAGTATTCAGGTAGTTAACTTATATCGAAAGTCACAGTGAATATCTGATAAAATTCATACAGGAAATAGAAATAATTGCCAATTATAGCTAATATTTATAAAACTTTAAAAGAGCCATAAATTGATGCCAATGGATCTGGGCAAGATTATACGTCAGCAAACATGTGAAATAATGCGCAACTCACGTTGATGTGTTTACAGGTCGAATGCATCTTAGTCGTACTGTGAAAAGCTCGACGAAAATAAGCATCAACAGCCAGAAAAGGGTAGGAGCGCGAGCGAAGAAAGAAGAGCCAAAGCAGGAGGTGCAGGGAGTATTTAGTAAGGGACTAGAATTGGAACCACGATCAAGTTGGATGAGTTTGCGTGAGGCGGTGTCGTCAATGAGCGACATCGCCCAATCGCCAACAGGGAGTCGGTGATGGACAATGAGCAGCCCCATCAAGAGCTGGTCAAGTGCGTGGTCGTCGGCGACACGGCGGTTGGGAAAACACGACTGATCTGCGCCCGCGCCTGCAACAAGCACGTATCACTGTCGCAACTGCTCACCACCCATGTCCCGACCGTCTGGGCTATTGATCAGTATCGGATCTACAAGGATGTTGGTATCTCAATGTTTACTCTTTCCCTATTGTCTGTTCACTCACTATCTACTTTACATGCTTGCGCAGCTTATTATTTCACGCTGAATACCCTCCTCGAACGTTACTGAAGAAATTTTTATGATTTTCCAAATTTTCAAAGCTTCAGAATAATTTGTATTTTCAACTTATCTTCGTCATGTTGAACATGAGAGTTAATTTTTTATGCATTCAAGTACACCATTAAACAATCTGAAAGAAAAAGAAATTATGAACAAAAGAAGGATATTACACCCAAAGCCTTTCAACAATTTTATGAGACTTCAAGATTTTTGACATTTTTGAAAAGTCATAATTCTTATCCAGCAGATTGACTAGAAATTTTGATAAAGTTTTAGAAGACTTTCGAAATTTTCAGACTTCTTCGAAACTCTTACAAATTGTTGATGAAACTTAGCAAATTTTTCATCCAGAGAAATATTTAGATAGATTTTTTAATTTCATAATTAGTCTTGATTTTTCAATATTATTCTTCATATTTAGTTTATTATTTTAAATCATTTACTGACTTACGGATCAAGCTCTAAAAAATGTAAACAATTTTTATTTGTAACCTCAAATCTTATAGAAAACGATCATTCACATTAATAAGGAAAACATGTTTAATACTTTATAATTTATGAAAAAAAATGTTTTACATTCTATGTATGTATTTTTTTTCCTTCTTAGCCTTTGTTTCAAATTAACAATCTCCTAACATTTTTCCTAGAAACGTATGATTTTTAACAATTAAAATCTAGAAAATTATAATCTTAGTATAATAAACAAAATTTGTATTAGAAACAGTCATATAATGAGGACTGTTGATTACGAAATAACTGTTTAATCAAACTTGAAATTAAATCGCAAGCTTCTTTATATTAAATTCATCTTGAAATGTATTTTTGAGTCATCCGGTACTTACGGTCCAATCAGTATTTATTAATTGATAAAATACAAAATGAGTTGAAGGAAAAGCTTCATTTTCGCAAAAAAAGCTTTGGTATGTCGTTTCCTCAATCTCGAACAAAAGCTGCAGTAGCAGCAGTCTCGTAGCAGTAATAACGTTTAACATCAATGAATCAGGGCACACAAGCACATACAGCTTTAAAACACGTTCTCTCTCTCTCTCTCTTTTCTCTCTCTCTCTCTCTCTCTCTCTATCTCTCGTTCAAGCGCGTGATTGAGTGTACCAGGGACAATGGCTCGAAAATACACATCACGTTCCGCACTTTAAGCGCGCACACAAACCCACGCACAGCCTAATTATCGTATAACGCTTAGCTCGCTCGAGACAAACGGAAGCAAAAGCTTTTCTCGCTCGTTCACTGAACTTTAAACTCAAGCATGACATAAGCGGTCATTATGCGAAACAAGGCAAATATCAAGTGTCCTTTAAAAACTAAACAAACCAAAGGTGTTGGAACGCTCTTGGGAGGTGGTCGACAACGTGAACGTGTCGTTGCGTCTGTGGGATACATTTGGCGATCACGAAAAGGATCGTAGATTCGCCTACGGCAGGTAATGCTATTAATGAAAGCATAGGAGTGGCGCGGCATATTGTCCGTTAGAAATGAAGTATTTCCGATTGCAGGTCAGACGTGGTGCTACTATGCTTTTCCATAACGAACCCCGTGTCGCTGAGAAACTGCAAGGCGATGTGGTATCCGGAGATCCGTCGCTTCTGCCCCCAAACTCCGGTCATCCTGGTAGGCTGCAAGAACGACCTGCGATACATGTATCGCGACGAGACCTATCTGAGCTACTTTCGCGATCGAAGCCCCTTCGTGAGAGCAACGCGAAAGAGCGATCTGGTTATGCCGGACCAAGCGCGCGCGGTCGCGCGAGAGCTCGGTGTCTGCTACTACGAAACCAGTGTATTCACCTACTACGGCGTGAACGAGGTTTTCGAGAACTCGATAAGGGCCGCACTCATCGCTCGTAGACAGCAGAGGTTCTGGATGACCAATTTGAAGAGAGTCAAGAGGCCGCTTCTTCAGGTGCATTCTCGACCCTCGACATTTCCGCTACCGATTCTAACCAGCCAATGAATGTTCGCAGGCGCCGTTCTGCCCGCCAAAGCCATTGCCACCCGAGGTCACGCTGGCACCAAGCACCTACGAGGAAAACATCAAGTCGCTGTGGACTCGGCTCGATAAGACCGACGTCGCTCTCGTCGCCGGTGGACAGTCCTTCAATGCCCATCGCTGCTTTCTCGCTGCTGCTTCACCCACATTCTACCGCCTATTCACCATGGAACTCATACAGGAGTACACGCCAAGAAGTTCTAGCGAGTCTAGTATGGTATGCTACTTTCCATTGCCATTCCATTTTTTTACGCTTTCCATGCTCGAGAGCTTGCTCTAAATCGCAACTTGGCCCTTAAGTTACAAACATTCTGGATTGTTTATAGTCAGATACTACTTTTTAACTTGAGTGGAAAATCTGAAAAACTTTCAAAGTGTTCTGATTTCTATTCTTATTCAACAATTAATCTAAAATTTGCAAACCATCGGTTGTCAGTTAAATTTCGTATTTTGTAAGCAGCAAGTTTGTCGTGAAAATATTGAATTTTCGAACTCCATTAAAATTAAAAGTTATTTATAAATAGGTTGTTGAAAACTTATTTCACGTAATATGTATCAGAAGCTACTGTTCAAAATACAATGCCAATAGTAATTTTAATTATAAAGTCGTGTATATTTTATTACTCGCAACTCATACTCATAACAAAAGGTAAACCGGGTTTGAAACTGACATAAACTCAATAACGTTCCAGGTCAGCTCTTTCGGCGAGGCGACAGTTGGCGAGTTCAACGACGACACAGAATGCCTGATCCGCATCGATCAAAGCAAAACCAATAAGTAAGAAATACATATAGAGCTTACGTTTTACGTATATCTCGTATCCCACAAACGTGCTCTTATCGCGCAGAGTATGGGATCAGATCAAAAGACGCTCGAGTTTTCAAGTATTGCCAACCCTGGAAACCCAAAGAAAGCCCATCGGTGCCACTCGAGAACTCAATCATCCTGCCTTCCAAAGTATTCGCGTCACTGTGGTAAGTTTATGGAACAGCGAGAAAAAAAAAGAGTGTAAAATCCAAGCGACCGTTTTTCAGACTGAAACCAGCAATGGAGCTCACCAGCAGACGATTGTAGTCACATTGTCGAAGCTCATAACGAGTCAAGCGATGCAGCAGTGCTTGCAATTCATTTACACTGGCAATCTCGACAAACGCTACCACGATCTCAAAGTAAGTCAACAAAATTTGCGCAAAGGACAATTTTTACGTAGAACGGATTCGAAAAGTGATTGCATAAATCGCTTTTGTATGTCGCGAGCGCAATGTCACAATATTGTATACCGAGTATATGTAGTTCGATGGCCTAATTAACATAACTGTGGTTCTTTCAGACAGCTCCTATCGGGCTTCTACTGGTTAGTACAACATGTATGTGTTAGACGATCATATAGACACGGTGGTACGTAAAGTGAAAAAAAATACACGTAAGGGGAGATTATATCACCACACGCGTTGCACAAATGAAAAAAAAGGAATCACTAGATATCATAAAATTTTTTTATACGATTTTTCGTCATAAAGTATGGAAGTGCACCACGCGAGTGTACTTCGAGTTCATGCATCGATCATGCACATACATGTTTTAACCCCCGTCGCTCTCATTGAGATTTTACTCTTATCATTTTTTTTCTTTTCGTCAATTAAACGTCAATTAAAATTTTTTTCTAATCTGTATCAACGATTCCCCGTAAATGATGTAATTGTCAACAGGAGGTAAGACAAGCTGCCGAGTTTCTGGAGATACCCCAACTCTTGATGGTACTCAACAATATGCAGTCGCGTGAGCAATATATGAACAGCGATATGAACAATCAGTTCAAGCAGATAGTACGGCAAAGGCTTGAAACTCTTTGTCTTGAACAAGGCAAGTCGGACATCTGATTATAGAGCTTTGAAAGATCATATCGTAACTTTCTTTGTTTTTTTTTAATGTTTTTCAAATTGCAGGTCTCTTCGCTGATGTAGTTTTCGACTTAGATGATGGCAGCTTGCCAGCTCACCGTGCCATTTTAACTGCCCGCTGCGACATGATGAAAGCCATGTTTTCCGGTGATTTTCGCGAAAGCAGCGCAAAAATAGTGAGTTCGCGCCAACCATTTCTTCAATTGAATCTACATATCGACGACAGTTTTCTTTCGATTTTCATAGATTGCATTTCCCGGAGTGAGGGAATACACTTTCCATAAGCTGTTGTGTTACCTATACACAGACGAAGTGCCGGCAATCTCATCCGACAGATGTTTGAATTTGCTCGAATTGGCCAATCGTTTATGCTTACCGCGACTCGTGAATCTCGTTGAAAATCGCGTTATCGAGGATCTGGAGAGACTGTCACAAAACAACGGCAATGAGGCTGTGGAAAATTGCCTTCGATTGCTAGAGCCTTGCAAGGTAAATTACCTTTTTTCTGTGCGTTAGTTTCGCCTTATAAAAGGAGATTTTCACTCGAAATTTTCCTAGTTTTCACGTAAGTTTAAGTTATGCAGGATAAAATTAAAATCTACTAATCGATCCTCATGCATCTCAAGCGAAGATGTAACATTGAAATTTTTTATAATATTCCTCAATTTAAACATCAACAATCTAAAGAACAATCTTTTTATGTATCCATTACAATATATTGATTCAGAATATCGAAGCTACATTTAAATACAGTAATAAAATACAAAGCCATATTTATTTGATGGTTGTATAATTGTTTATGGAATGTTGGTATAGCTACACAATGCCGATCAACTTGCCGATTGGTGTATGAACCATTTGTGTGTCAATTACAACAAACTTTGCAAAATGTCACCACGTAGCCTGCGACTTCTACATCCTGAGAATCAGGAGTATCTGAGCGAGCATCGCTGGCCTCCTGTCTGGTAAGTATCTGATTCACATGGTCACTTATTCAACGTTTGATTGTAAATATCCATTGGCACCCAGGTATCTCAAAGACTACGATTATTATCAGAAGTGTTTGGCGGAGCAAGATCGCGAGAGCAAAAATAAGCCATCGTTGAAACGCAACCGTAACCAATCAAACTCAACGTCGTCGCCGTCATCGTCAGGTTGCTTGTGCTTCTCGTCGTCGAGTAAGTCGCGTCGCTCGGCATTGACAACATCGACAACGACGACGACAACGGCGAGCGAGGCGACCCCAGAACGTCCCTTATTCGAGTCCGCAGTGCAAATAGCTGAGGTGCAAGATGACGTATGACAGGGACCGAGCGGCTCCTTACGCCGCTCTTTGCGTTTTGTCCTCGTGCTGCCCGTGCTGCTCGCCTTTATCTGCACGATTTTTACCATTTTGATACTGCTACAGATTTATACTTAAGCTGTATCTCCATCTCTCTTTTATCTCTATGTTTTTCTTATTATCTCTCCTGCACACTTTTCTTTCTTTCTTTTATCAGTTGGCTATCTGCCGTCCGAGATAGCAGCGTTTGTGTAATCCTTCTTGATTGAATATTTACTCGTTAAACAAGGGATTGTTTTTTTGTGGAAAGTACAGGAATGACGGTTTTGCAACGCATATACGTTTTTGATTTCTTTTCTACTTTTGTCTTATTCCATATGGTGAACGATGATATTACAAACGCTACATTTACCATGCAATAAATTTAATTGGATACTCATCATTTGCACTTGTTCAACGAGAAAAAGGAAGAAGCAACTGCTGGAATTTTCGTATGAAAATGAACGGCCCGAGGTGTAGGGTGAAAAAAATTGCGAGATAATATTTCGTGTTCTTGAATACCATTTTAATCGCAATAAAATTAAGAAACAATTATATACAGTAGGGGAAACGTTTTTTTTGTCTTTCGAAAGCGATGATAAGTATTTTTGTAAAGTTTTTGAAATGAGGATACGACGACTGGAATATTTTCAAAACTTGATTCGAAAGTCAAAAACTTTTAATGAGATGTTTATGGACTGAAAATGGACAAGAGATTATTATATTAAATAGATATTAGGGAATTGATTGCTAATTAAAACTTTTTTATATAATATTTGTGATGTCTCGAATGATCAACGTTCGAGTTGAAAGATATATAACAGAATAACTAAATAATGTAATTGTGTGGGAAAAGCAAACTTTGAAAACAAAAAAAAATAAATTATGCGCTCTTCAATCAACTTTGTATATGGATAAATACAATTCATTGAGAAAGGCTAAATGTTCTAACTTTTATCGGACACGCAACATCATAATTAGAAATCTACTTTCGCACGTAGATTTTCCCCGTTCATGTACCTCCGTAAGCGATTGGAGCTAAAATAAAAAAAAAACAAAGTAAAAAAGCATATCAGAAAACAATTACCAAAAAAAGATAAAGGAATAATAAAATGTTAAAAGCGCTCCTAAAAAACATACAGACACACAAAAGAAAATACACTCAATTAGTGAAACTTCCCTATGAATGTACAAGAAAGGAAGATAAAAGTAAATGGTTCGTAGAATGGTGATAGATGATTTTGTCGAGAGCAAAAAAAATACCCACAATAATAAAATTTCTTCTCTACGTATGTAAATGGTCTCATCGGTTTCCGATTTGCGAAATGACAAAGTTCCACATATTTAATTAGATTGACGACGACGTAATATGCAATACATAAGAAATATAAATATTATAAGAATTTTGTACGTAACTCTTAATAAAACATTCGTCCTTCAAATATATTTGACTATTTTTGAATAATAGTAACATTAAAATGTTTTCTATAAATTATTATCGTATACACACATAAGAAAAAATTGTAAAATTGATAAAGTACGACAATCAATCAAGGCATTACAGCCTCCATTTCTATAATTCATTTGTATGTAACAGCAATCCAAAACAAGTGTGATCTGTCGAAGTTGCGACAATTGTGGCGTTTCCAACCTCGAAAAAGTAAATCAATACCTTAATTGCCCCATTCCATGGATATAAAGCTTATACAAACGCGCGTGTTCGATAAATTACTCAACGCGGCACGGAGCCTAACACACATAATATATATACATATCTAGAGTAGGTGGGTAAAAAAAAATTTTTTAAAAGTACGACCCCCTCCTCGTGACGTATGAACAACGTCAGAGCGTCAGGTACGTTGGAATACGGTAAGTGACAGTCAGTAAAATCCAACAGCCGTTTAGGAATTCCCGTTGGTCTCTCGGCGCATCATCGTCGTCGTCGTCCACGCGAACATACATCATTGAGTAGCAGCTTCTCGTGCTGCGTCCGCTTTTAGTGAAAGAAAGAGAAAGACAGACAAGCAGAGTGCGAGTGAGAAAAAAAGGAGTCGCAACGTTGTGATGTGCAGTGCAGCCGATGACGGCCGCGATTCTTCGTTCGGTGAGTGCACACGTGAAATTCTAAGATATATACGTGTCTGTAACCAGGAAGTATCGTCGTTCCTTTTTTTCCTTCGTTTGCTGTTGCTTCAAATCCCCCTCTCCTCCCCCCTACGATACGAGCGATATAACACTGTTTTGTACTCCAAAAAAGCCGCGCCCTAGCTGCTTTTATTACTCAACTTAACCTGCAGCTCCAGGTCCGTTTTTCCAACTCTGTTACTTTAGACCAAGTGTGACACCTTCGTTTACCACCTTAACTCTCTATCTTTGGCAGCGATTGAGATATACCGTTGGGTTCACTCTCTAGTGCGATTGTAAATAGGATGTGACATCTATTAAGAACCCACACCCACTTGAAAATCAATTGTCTACACAACAGTCTGTTGTGTATTCATTCGCGTGTGCGAGTTGTTTTATTCTTTCATTGTGCAGCTTGCATTCATAGGCAAGACTGTGGACACATGTCTGGCATTCTTCGTTACTGGTGTCAGTGCTCAGCGCAGCCAATGATGTTTAACAACTCCATCATTGGCTTATGACTTCTTGAGAATTTGTAAGGGCAAAAATAGAATTAGAACACTTGTTGTACTATTTTAAGTATTCAACATCAACAAAAGATCATTAAATGCATTATACTCACATAAAAGGGACGAGTTTGATTCTCAGCTGTAAAGTTTTAATGTTATTTTGTGATGTTAAAAAAATATCTTGATTTTCTCTATCAAACTCAGCTGTATCAACAGTTACACAACATCCAGTACAATCTTATCAATAAAATTTGTACACAAAACATAAAAAAATTTTTCTAGTGGAAATGCTCAAATAAAATCTGATAAAATTTATCAAAACAGACAATTAACTATATCATTGATTTTAATATCTCAATGAATATGGCATTCTATTAAAATCAAATTATTTATCTTGCAATTGCCAAACATTGAATGATAAGGAAATGAGTATCATGGCAACTCTCATTCACACTCTTCCTACCTTACATGTTATGAAACTGAAGATAATGTATTGGCTTAGTGTATGTGTGGGTATAGGTGTTTGCATATGTGTTTGCATATCAGTGCCTATTTCATGTAGTAGAATGATCTCTGAGAGTGAAAACCTCTATATGTCAGCTTATGCTATTTATAGACAAACCAAGAAGATAAACTATTAAAATGCAATAATTTTTAATGACTTGATCTTTAGGTGCCAGCTGCGTAGGAAATCTGCCAGTAGGATGGGCAAGCTCTTGTCAAAGATCTTTGGCAACAAGGAGATGCGCATTCTCATGCTGGGATTGGATGCAGCCGGCAAAACCAGTATCCTTTATTCATTATCTTTATTGCCCCAGAATATCAATGTACATTAATCAGTGCCGCTCCATTGCATTTCTAACTAGAGCTAACATCAATGGTGATATAAAGACTAGTCTTTGACTTTTCGTTTCATTAATTTTTATATATTAAAGTCTAGCTAAATTTATTATACAATCATTAAAGATTGTTTGATCTATTCTATAGCTAAAATAATTAGGAAGACTTTCATTTTCAAATTATAATAATGCATCAAATGTGAAAAACAATACTCAGTCAACTTCTCTTTAGCTATATGTATTATTAAATACTAGCATAAATCTGTTTGTAATTTCAGTTCATTGGTTGAAACGTACTCCTCAGTGAGAAGATGGAAAAAGTTGAATATGATGTGAGATAAGTGAGTCATTAACATGAAATAAAAAACATTGTATGACACACTACTTATCATATTATGTTGTACGCATAAAAACTTGAAATGGAATCTAGTTTAATAATTTTTCAATTTTATGGTTTCCAACTGAACATGTTTTTCTTAACAAAATGTCATTAGCAATTCTGTATAAACTTAAATTAGGCCAATCAGTAACAACTATACCCACTGTTGGTTTTAACGTAGAAACAGTCACATACAAAAATGTTAAATTTAATGTGTGGGTGAGTATTGCATATTTTTCTTTCATACATGATATGTTAATTCAAAATGATCAGTTATAAATAAAAAATATGTTTTTATCTAATTTTCAGGACGTAGGTGGACAAGACAAAATACGTCCACTTTGGCGTCATTACTACACAGGTACGCAGGGACTCATTTTTGTAGTCGATTGTGCCGATAGGGATCGAATTGATGAGGCACGTCAAGAATTACATCGAATAATAAATGATAGAGAAATGAGGGACGCTATTATTCTTATTTTTGCCAATAAACAGGATCTTCCAGAATGTAAGAAAACGAATTCTTTTTTTATAGCTCACATCAAAGTTAAACTATAAATGGAAATAAACCAACTCGATTTATTTAAATAATATTATATCAATTTCCTTTGAATTATTAATTGTAATTTGTCAATTATTATATGTTTGAATATAGAATCAAAAGTAATCTCAAAAATCACATTTAATACTCTTTTGTCTTAATGGTATAATTTTATAATAATTTCTGTATATTGTTCAGCAATGAAACCACACGAGATCCAGGAGAAGCTTGGACTAACGCGGATACGAGACCGAAATTGGTATGTGCAACCATCGTGTGCAACGAGCGGTGACGGACTCTACGAGGGTCTCACGTGGCTAACCAGTAATCATAAATTATGAACGAGCGGCTAAGAAATCATCATCATTGTCATCGTCGTCACACATCAGAGTTAGTCACCGAAACTCGTGTATCATAAAACAAAAAAGAAATTCAGCAATTCGCTAGCTGCTTTTCGGTGCTCCTTTAAAAGGAGTATCGCTAAGGCAATGTTTTTTCCCAGCAAGAGAGAAGTGCAGCGAAGCAATGTGGTCATAGTTGAACAAATATAAGAAAAAAGTATGTATAATCGTTATCGTTTACTGAATGCAACTTGATTTGCGATCGAGTGATGATATAGTTTTTACTGATAGGGAGGATAGACAATGTAAAGTAAAATGGAATAAATGAAACAGATAGAAGCTTCGGAAAATTCATTATTACAACTGATATATATTATATCTATCTCTTTCTTCCAACGACAAAAGTTCAAGTAAATTTGGACGATTTACAATAGTCTTATCAAGAAAATTTATGAAACAGCATACAATAGCGAAATTTAAATACCCCAAATTCTGCGTTTAGCTTTTTTTACATCATTTTCTTTTTGGTACCTTGTGTCAATGATAATGAACAAGCCAATTGTTGAACATCGAGTGAATGATTGTGAGATATATTTATGATAAAATTACGATCACATTTTATCGAACACTTCCTCATACTTGTTGATAAAAGAGTCAAACAAATTGCGGGTCAGATGCAACAAGAGATTATTTTTGTGTCATTCGTCGATTCGAGAGAAAATACAATGTTCGAATTAGTCGAGCGTTGCTAATCCCAGATGTATAAAAAAATCGTTTATTCAATAGCTTTTAAGTAGTCATCGCTTGTGTCGCTCTGGTAGTCTTCAAGTTCTGAATTGAATCTATCAAAAAAGTTAATTCTATAATTCTAGATATAACCACTTGCGATATTCGGTATTTTTTAAATAGTAATAAACTGAAAATTCAATATTAGATAAGTAGACATCACATATTTATTTTTCATACCAGTGAAAAATGAAGTTTCACAACAAAGCGGACTAACTATAATCATCAAACTTCAATCTACTCTTCAGTAATTAGGAATATAAATATTTTTGGTCTTACACGGCATATTTCAATACACAACTTGAAGAGCGTTTTTAGAAAGAATAGAGCGATGAATACAGAAAATCGATAATAAAAGAAATTGGCTGAAGGAGTAATTACGAGTAAATGTCGTAAAGTAAAAGGGGCTTATTTATTTTTTATTAACAACGTCTCTTAGTAGCTCACGATATCAATCGTAATGTACGCTCCAGGTGGACTGAATTATAACCGTAATTATATATTTTAGTTTAGTTACTACATCTTGTGAAATTCCCGTCGAGGTTACTGCGATAAGCGAGAATATGGACGATATTCGTATATAAGAGGATTTTGAGGAAAGGTTTCAAGTAATTTCAATACAAAAGTAAAAAAAACCAACAAAACACAGAAAAAAAAATTTTAATGAAACTTATTAACGTCGATTTAAGCACCAAAAGGGAAGAACACTAACATAGCATATTTCTAGATCTCTTGCGATTTCGATGATATTTCCCTTGTCGTATTTATTATTCTCTATTGCATACAAGCAGTGTTCATCATTTATTATTTAATCTTCGAGGGGTAGATATAATTTAACGCGAAAAAACTGTAATTTTTTTTAAAGAGAATCGTTATTAAAAACTTAGCAATATTGATGTTATTAGCTAAATATCATTAAAATATTTTTATCAATACCTTTAGAAGTATCTGAAGAAGTCATAACAATGGTTCATTAGGTTAATAGATGAAAAAGATTATCATCGGGCTTAACAATATTTGTTGAGCCATATTGATAAACTTAATATATTTATTATTTTGTTTTCTCAAAGATTCTACGTACCAATGTCCCATTAAAGTTTTGTCTTCGCAAACTCTCAATGCTTCTTTATTTACTCTTAAGTAGATAGTACATTATAATATATTTAACAGAAAATTATCTAACTTAATACTACTATATGTACCCCTAATTTTCTTAAAGTTTATTATAAAAAAATTAATAATAATCGAGTTACATTCCACAATGAACCAAGTTTAATGACTTTTAGGGATAATAGCACATTTCTAGAATTCAATTGTACCCTATAGCAAGAGAGAAAAAAGTATACAGCGAGTTTGTGATTTCTGACCTGTACTGATTGATCAAACTTAAAATTCTTTGACAAAATTCAAAGAGACGATCGAGTGATTTGCCCATTAATGAATTATTTCTCTCGTCTTTCTTTTTATGTATTATACTAATTATTGTCTTAACTACGTAAATAGTACAGCGATCATTCTGAATACTATGTACACGAAGCTCCATTTTTTAAGAAAAACAAAGATGTCATTTCGAATGTATTGTCAAAGGCACAAAAATAATGAAAATGAATTTTATTGTTGTTTTCTTTTCTTGTTTCTTGTAGAAGGAAGATTATCGCCATGATTATTTAGTATTGAATTGCACGTTTAATCTGTATTTATTAAAATACTAAAGGATGGACGAATACGCAAGAATACATTCAGTACTTAACTTTTATACATGAAAAGAAAAACAAATCAGCGAACAAAAACTACAATTTATTAAGTAATACCTTGTAAAATACGACGAAGTAGAAACGTGTGAAAAAAAAAAACAATTTTTGTGTACAAAAGTAATTGCGAATAATTCTTGCGTGTTTGATAATGCGTACGATCGTAAATTTATAACGCGATTAACACTTCCGCGAGTGATTGTTTTAAATAAAGAAGAAAAAATAAACGAGTTTTAATTGAACGATTTTGTACTTGAATTTTGTTGTAAGCGTGTTGTATCAGATGATTTTTTTAGCGATTAAGTATAATTCATAGCATGTGAAGAGAAAAAAACTTTTTTTATTTACAGTCAAAGTAAAATGCAAAAATTATGTAACGATTATATGCAAACAATACATAACTGAAGATATAATAAAAAAAGATATACTTTTATAAATAAATCTTTAAAAGTGCAATTGAGACTATTACTTATTTCAGATACTCCGTTTTATTTTTTCTTTTGTCATGTACAGATTCAATAGCAAAATCGTTAATTGACATATTAATGTGTGCGAGATGATAAAACTTTCCATCAAATACTTTATTAAAAGTTTGCCCGATCGATCGATTTTTATTATTTTAGAGAGGTCATATTCGACGCGTGCGTGCGAGTGTATAAATTGTGCGTAGGCCGGAAGTTGCAAGACATGACTGTAAACGAAGACGTGTGCAGTATAGCATCACACGATATACAACGTGTAGTGGTTATGAATTGTTAACGTCACACATAAAACTTCCTTTAAAGCTGCAAACTTTTCATTCGTTTTTTTTTTCATTCTCTTTGGATAATTCCTTTTCCGCATGGTGGCGTTTATTATTTATATGTTGCGTTTTATTGTCGAACAATTAAATCTTGTATATCAATGTTTTTTACGTATGATTAAAAATTAAAGAAAGATACTTGAAGGATAACTAAATTTGTTTATTATTAATAATTATAATCTTATTAATAGATGCTTATTTGCTTATTTTATTTGTATAAACGTACGATATCCACTTATATAGTTAAAAAAATTCTCGTTTCATGACTTTGTTAGAAAATATATATTGAGTCCCTTGTCTAAACCAATTCAATTGACTCCTAGAAAAGTTACTACTGTTGCTCAGTAAAATATAATAAAATTCAATCTATAGCAAGAAAAAGCGACACTAGATTTTTAATTTATAATGAATGAAAAAAATATCAACGACTTGCTTAATATTATATTTCCAATGATTATCTTTTTATTAGATTTGATTTGAATAAAGTAAAATTTAAGATTTTTATAGGAGAGACAGAGAGAAAGAGAGAGAGAGACTGTTAATTATCAAGGGTTCAGATTTGCTAAATTGAAAAATTTGTAAATTAAATGTAAAATCTCTCATTGATGCCGCAGATTTTAATTATTTATTAAATTAATGAATACAGTAGTTGTCGAAAAAAAACTTTCTTTTGTTAATTCTTGCGCGTTTTAACATATTCTTTTTTGTTGGATTATCAGAGCTAGGAAACAAAAAAAACAGACTAATCATTTACGTGGATTTAGTAGAGTATTTGGAATTTCTATCAGAACTTGTAATTCAATAAAATAACATTAAAAACATAAAAAAATGCATAACTTGTTATCTACGCTGTTAAAACTTTCAAAGTATCAAATATACTTCTCATTACCATAGCTTTACAATCGTATACATAAGTTCATATAATAAAACGCAGAACCGCTTATAAGATCATCGATCATTTATCAAAAGAAGAAAGATTGATTTTCGAATAATCTGCAAGTATAGGGCGTTCGTCATGGTGGAGTAAAGTCGTATGTATCCTTGTCCTCACGAACCTTAACACACAGCAAGTAAAATAAACTCGACAACAGCGCGCGGCAACAGCGTGACGGTAGCAAAGCAGATAAAGGCAGCATTGAAAGGCAGAAAGCATGAAAGCGTAATCCAGCCACGACTACACATCAAGCCGCATCGACATGCCGCGCGGGTGGTTTTTTTACCGCATACGTACAAAACGTAAATCTATGGATATGCTCGCGGCGATTCTCCCAACGTACCGATAAGCACAAATGCGCGCTCTGCTCTCTCGGGTTTGTTCCCTTCTTTTTATATCCTTCTATGGTTTCTTTTGGAAGAGCGCATACCATTATTTTGCTTTTTGTCTTTGATCGAAGCTAAGCAATTGTTTAGCTTGCAAATAAGATAAAGATAGACAGGAAAGTCGATGGTCGCTCGATTAGGGGATGAAAAGTCTCGTCGGTTTCCTTTTTTATCGATGGCTTGATAGATAAGAGTAGGACAATAACGATACAATTTGTTTGATTCATCGTATAAATATTGTTTCAGTGCGATAGATCGGAGAAATTGGATGACTGATGAAGGATAAGATTATTTTATTTTGACGATTGCCTAACCGTTCCTCGCCTGCTACTACTAGTGCACCGCTAATTAATACACCTTTCTTGTCACGATGAGCAAAAGTTTGAATATACCGTTGTGTCGTATAGCAATTTCTTTGCTATCTATATGTTTGTGAAAGAAAGGCTACTGACTGACGAAAGTCTATGTTTGTTATTTGTAGAGAGTGCTAGTTTGAAATAAATATGAAATTTATTCAATTTAATGAAGACCGAATTATGAGCCCTTGTTCAAAAACCAACGAGAACGAAAAAGACAGAATAGAAAGTACATTGATTGAAGCAAATTCGCACAGTGAAAATAAAAGTAAATCCGCATTCGCAAAGCACTGGGCGGAAAATTCATACATATCGGAAAAAATATACATATACATTAATGTCGTGGGCCAGGCGCTCGGTCGGTAAGTAGGTAAGTTAGGTGATAGCGGAGCAGCGTCGTATAGTATCGGCCGCAAGTTGTACCCATTCCTGCGCGGTAGTAAGGGTGGGCTACGATATTGGCTGGTTGCGGGAGGCTGTGTGTGCAGCTTGTTCGCACCTTGGAGGGTAGGGAGGAGGAAGAAAAGTCCATAAGTCGCGTAACGAGCGGGCATTTGGAAAATCAATAACAGTTGTCGTCATCGCAGGCGTTCTAGCGCGCCTGCTTTCTTCGACAAGGGGGTGAGAGCTTATTAAGCTCCACGTGAACATCAGTTGGCTTTCGTGCAGGGATACGATGGGCGTGCTTGCAGTAGCCTTAGGTAGATATGTAGCGCGGTGTAATTCAATGTATCGCAGATGCGGATTCTTCTTTGTCAATCGTTTCGAGGGTCCGGGTTAAGCAGTTGGCAAGATTTTGGCTGTTCTTGAAATGAGACAAGCTAAAGGGGGAATTAACCTAGTCCGCTTAGTTAGCGTGTAGAGTAAGCGTAAATGCCGGATTCTAAAATACATCTGATGTCGAGAGCGGGAAAGAGCACATTTGTAATCCTCCACAGTATTACTCTCGACATTTGGCTTTTCCGCTGCGATTTGAACGAAAGTTATTGCTAACTCGCGCACCTGGAATTCTCTCGCAACGAGCGACGAAGAAACGAGAGTGTATTTATTTTTCGGGGGTTAACATCAAAACTCGCGCGCATGTATATAAAACGTCGGCTATTTCTCTCTTTTTTTTCGGGTAAAAACTGTTCCGAGCGAGAAAATAGAGGTGGGGGAGCCGTTGAGGCTAAAGGCGTTTATTACCTTCCCCTCTCCTCCACAGCTTTGAGCTTCGCTCTTTTTTCTTTCTTTCTTTACGTTTATCGGGAAACAAGCGGTTCGCCGCGGCTGACTTAACTGATTCGGATTAAAGTTTTTTTCTCGTGAACTTACGCAAATGACGCTTCGACTGCTTTGTCACTTTGTAATTACTGGATTTTATACTTTTTTACTTGCATACTTCAGCGATAGGTGCATGAAGGGGAATTTGTAAATTCGAATATTCAACGCGGTAAATAGGGGAAAAGCTTTTTCTGCTGGCGATAGCAAATATGAGAAAGCAAGGAAACGAGTATATGCAAGCATAAATCCTACTTCCATTTCCCTATGAGTGTGTGTACATTCTAAGAAGCAATTTGAAAAAAAAGAGCCAGTCGATTTTCAAATACATCTCTCTTACACTCACTCCCTTTTTCTTCCTCCAGGCACTTTGAAAAATCTATTGTTCGAGTAATAACACAAAAAAGAGAGTGGCAACCTTTATCGTCATTGTAAAAAAGAAAAACAAATCTGTGAGCAAATAATTTCGAACGTTTGTAGTAAGGAGTTTTCGCACGTAGGTAGGATCAATCGCGCGACGTTCGCGGAATTTTAAAGACTTGATATACTCCGGCATATAACCTGCCTGTGAACTCTCGTTTGCCCTGAGTTTTAATTGCACCGGTTAGGGTGAAATTGAGAAGATCTTTTAGAACAATTATGTTGTTTCTATTAAACGTACACGTACTCGTCTTGAGGGAATTTCGAGCATCACAATTACAACATCTCATGGCACAAATTTCTCTTCGATGATTTCGATAATTGTATAATATTGCATAATATAAAATTGATTCTTTTGAATTATTGTTAGATCACTTTCAACATATAATTTTCTATAAGAAAATGTATCAATGGCAATGATCGAATCAAATTTTGAAAAATCGTAATAATTTCGATCATTATCAATTTCATACGAATATTATAGCACAAAGCGTAGTTATGCGATCAATTTTTTTCACAAAATTCAAATAATGATATAATTTGTATCTTTTTATTAAAATCGATATTAATTTTTTTATTACATTGCAAAATAAAAAAAAACAAAAAAACATTTTCTCTGAAAGAGCGTCGTCGAAAATTAATAGCTTCATCTATATTACCTTTGCAATTTATAAAATTACAGACGCCAAGCAGTATTATTACGGTTGCACATTAAATCTGCTATTCTGTGCAAAAATTATTCGTCATAAAGATAATCTGCACGCGAAACTTGAAAGAAAATACAAAAAGAAAGGTCAATCGCTCGGCAAAGTCAGCAAATGGAGAAAATATTTTTAACGCTCTCGGCGATAAATAAATCATAACGAGAGACAGATAATTCAATAGATATTTATCGGGATCGAAAAGTGGCTAATGATTTCGTAATTTGCCTCTTATCCAATCCCATCGCGTGCCTCTTTACTATTCGCCGTCGTTGGCACGCGACGACGATAACGAAAAAATATTCTATTACCTGTGTGGGCGCCGAAAAAATCACGTCCTCTCGCGCCCCTTATTTTTCATAGTAATAGAGTGATTTTATATTCGCAAGCGCACATGAATTATTATCGAGAGATGTCAATGCATTCGCCTCGTTATTTATATCACCGCGAAAAATAGTTTGATGGCGCTTTTATACTATGATCTTGAATCTCATTCGTCCCCGAAATAATTCTCGTTGGTAATTATCAAATGGCTTTCTTTGGCTTCCAATAAAGGTTATTTCCGCCCTCCGGTTGGTTAATTTCGAGTGCGATTCTATTTTTGAGTGTACATTTGATTTATTACGACTGCATATTTGTGACTGTTGGATTTTGTCAGACTTTTCTAACGACAATTTAACCATCTATATTTACTTTTTCCGGAAATTTAATTAATCAAATTAAGTACAATGAGGTCCTATCCAATCGTTATTAGACACAATTTGGAATTCTCGCTTATATTATTTTTTATTTATACATGTATTATCCATAGGTTTTCATCACTTAAATTACATTGTGAAATTATTTCCGGATTTTTTGAACGTGTACTTACAACAGACAAATTATAACATATATTATAAATTATCAACGTAATTGCTTAATGTATCTTACATATTTTTAACACGCGTCACATTAATATTGTAATTTTTTACAGTTAGGATAATGACGTTCCAGCAATATTATTAATGAATAAATAAATTTATCGAGCAATCTTTTCCATTTAGATACGATGAAATTTGTATATGTTTTGTGTCTCAATTTCAAATCCAAAAATTGCAATCAGTATAATGAATCAAAATATTCCTAGTGTGTATTATAGATTCTCCATACGTAATTCTCATTCCTAACAAAACAAAAACAAAATAAAAAATCCTGCATTCGCAGAAAATACAAAAAAGGTGCACACTGTCGAAAAGTCTGGTCACAGTTAAAAAAAAAACAATCATCGCCAGTCAAAAGGTGCATCATCGCGAAGAGAGAGAGACAGAGAGAGAGAGAGAGAGAGAGAGAGAGAGAGAGGAGAGCGGGGATGGGACAACTTGGCAGTCCGAAAAATTCATAAAACATGACTCTCAGTCGAAAGAACTTTTCCATCCGGTACCCAAACCCGCGGGCGGCAGCAGCGGTCCTACAACTATGCTCTTTCCAGTCCACTATTCAAGCTGCCAAAGTCTCCACGAGTATTATATCCCATAAAAACGAGTGAGAGAGAAAAAAATTCCGAACAGGGAGATTAGGGAGTGGAAATCACTCTCGAAAAAGAAAAAAAAAGCGAGCGACGTGAAAATCTTTCCGGGGACTACTTTCAATCTATTAACGTGTCGCGCGCGCACCTCGCCTCAGCTCGTCAGCCAAGCGGAATCGCGCGACGCTTCTTCTTTTTTTTTACTCCTCCTACGTTCTCTGCTTTTTCTCTTTCTACCTCTCATACATGTTCCTTTTCTTTTTTTTCGCGCGCGAGTTTCTTTTTTTTTTCCTTTTTTCGTAGTTCTCGCGCTTTTTCTCTCGTCGTCGACGACGACGACGACGACGACCTGGATTGACTTGTGACGGCTATTAACGTCGTCGTTTATGAACTCCTCTCGTCTCTGCTTACTTTGTAGTTTGTTGTCCTTTTTCCAAGCGACGCTAATTGAACGACTCGTTACGCTTTTGATTAAGATTTCCGCGGTATAATAAAAAAAAAAACAAAAAAACAAAAAGACAACTTTGCGGTTGTCACATAGATGACGTATACTTCGCACTCTCGCAATCATTTTTCTTTTGTCATTCTTTCGTATACGTTTCTCTTTCATGATTCCATGAAAGATTGCAGCGTGAGAGAGCGTCTTCAGCGCCACGATTTATCCTTTTTTTTCGTGTGATAAGAAACGGGGTATGGCCCTCAACCGAAAAAGCATGAAAAGAAAGTCATCAATCAGAAATACAATATACAACACGGGATTGTCGAAAAGCGAATGAATTAAAATCAAAACTCTGTGAGCAAACGCTGGCGCTGCTGCTCGGCTTATTTTTCCGGGCGGCTTCCGTCGCGAGTCGCGACGACGACGGCGGCGGCAAAGGCCTATTGTGAGTCGCCGGGCGGAAATGTTACGTGCGCCGAGGGGGCGTTTCTATACGCGAAGCCGAGAGAGAGAGAGAGAGAGAGAGAGAGAGGGCGATGCGTCTGTTTGATAAGTGCTTGATTAGTTGTGCGTTTGTTTGTTGTGAGAGAGCGAGAGAGAGAGAATCAACCCGCTTGTGTACCTCGTATATACGTAGAGAGTATGTATATACCTGTGACCGTTGTGCTATAAAATAACGGATGCTCTTTTGACTTGTTCGTTGGATTTGAAAATCAAATAGATACGTGTTTTTTTACAATTGTTTCCGTCGTAAAATATGACAATTGTTCGAGTGCAGAAAAGAGGAAGGGATTTTTGACGCGCGCATATGCAAATGTTATATATATATATGCGCTCGCGAATTTATTTTCGGTGAACGTGCGAGTCGCAAATAATAAATCAAGCCGCACCACGTATTTTCAATAAAGCCCTCCCCTTCCGACGACGAGAAAATTCATAATGCCAAAATTTTAAAGCTCTAACGAAAATTGATTTACCTGGCGAATAGGGACTGGCATAACAAATTAATATTCTTCTTTTGTAAAAACAGCCTTTCAAAGATTCTACTATTTTTTGTCGTTTCATCAGAGAGACACTGCCTTTCTCTGATGGTGCAAGCTATTAATATGCGAGCGGGCAAAAAAACGCGAGGGAATAAAAGTGCGAAATGTATGTAAAGCGATTGCAGGGGAGCGTTGAACTTTCGGAAAAGTTTAATAACAATTGCTTTTCGAACTACCGACTGCGCTCTAACTAATTTCTTTGCCGTCAACTAGTTGGCGATTCTTTCTATATTTTTACCCCGAATCTGCTGATAAGTTAATTTACATTCTGGTAGAACTTTAGTTCGCTTATTTTCGATTTTCAACGTAACTGCGTTAACTTCGACGATTGCGCGAGTTTCAAAACATCAGTTTAATAACCTAGGCGAAGTGATTTACTGTGAAAAAAAGCTCTTTTAACTGATGAAAAAATGAAGTATAAAGATTTGGTGCGTCATCTGGAAATAATAGCTTCACGGTTTTCGAGAAAACGCAACAAAATTCTTTAAAAAAAAAATCATAGATAGAACTGTGGTGGAAAAGTACAGCAGGCGAAAATCATCGAAAAAAGAAGACAAGAAGAATAGCAAGAGCGTGCAATGATCGACGGAAGGCTTTTCATTAGAAACTGGAACACACCCTCGAGAGAGGAAAAAAGTCGCGCATCTCCATTCAAAAAAAGAAATGTACATCATCTGAGTGGTTTGAAAGAGCTCGTTAAGCCTATCGGTTTATCGACGATTTAACTGGCCCTCGTTAGCAGTCCAATGAATTTTTAATGATGTGGTCTTTTCCTCGCGGATAATGTGTGTTAAGCTAATTTTGACGGAAATCTATTCTTTTACAATGGAATCTGATACTAGCGAAAGACCTGGCAAGTTACACTAAAATTCAATTGAGTCCAAATGCACTCTGCTTATAACAATTTTAGAAATATCCCGAATCACTTGTTCTATTGATCCTATTGAAGTTTCGAGATGTAAGAGCCGATTAACAATGCTTTCTGTAGTAGTGCATAGCCAAGTAGTATTATTGATTCACTATTGGAATACCCGATGACTTCCTTCAATTTTCGTCTTTCGCCGTTCGAAGACATCACGCGAATAGTATGTCTTTTTATCAAATGAATAGAATGGCCCTTAAGAATGGAAAAAACTAAATGAAATCTCGTCTAAAGAGAGAGCGACGAACGAATCGTCGCGTAGATCGTCAAACTTGGCGCATTCTTCGTAGTCGTCCAACAATTTCCCTCTGCCCACCTCACTCGGATGAAAATTAAAAGGAAGGTCCAGAATGACGAAGTATCAAAGCCGCATAATTGGCGTGCTTTAATTAGATATCCGAAAAGCGATAAGGAAAGGTCCGATTGATCCTTCTTATTTCCTAATAATCGAATAGCTTGAAATTCCGCAAGTAGCTTCTTCCTCTTCTTCGTTCGTCAGTTTTTTGCGTCGCAAACTCAAGCAACTTTTCGAAACTCGACGAGATTCAATGCATCTCATTTTGCTTTGATTGCCACAGCGAAGTGCATTAAATATTGATGAAGGAACAATCGTCGAAATTGTTATTTATGACGACAGCTGCAAGTATTTGACGGCAAGAGGTTGTTCAAATTTGCCCACGCGCGATGCGCATTCTCCGAGGCGCTCATCTTTTAGCTCTTACCTATCTCTTTCCTGTGCAAAATCCACCTCCTTACGAAAATTCCCTGCGAATTATCTCCTCTCCCCCCCCCCCCCCCGCCCGCCCTCGCTCCACCGTGAAAAATTTCGAGAGAAGAAAAAAAATGAATTTTCATAATCCTTCTTGCGGAAAATTCCTTTTTCCATGTATCTATCTAGCTATCATCGCTAATAAGTTTTCACACTGCATTATTAATCGACAGAAGATTTTGGCGTTTATTCAGAATCAAGCCAAAAGGCGAACAAGTGATTTCGGAAGAATCCTAATTACCGCAGTGCAAGCTAAATCGAGACACTGTATAAATCCATGCTGGGCTACAACAACCCTTGATGCAGCATACATAGATAAGTCCACCGTGCAAAGAGAAGAAAGGAAATCTCCATGCACGTAGCCACAAGTGATAATGACATGCTTGCAAAAACCCTACCCGTGAGCTTCGGTCGGGCGGCTTTGGTGGTTATGGTGAGTATAAGGCGAATAGCTCAATTGAAACATTACTCGGTGGCGCCCACACCCACGAACGTGGCGACGACGACGACGACGACGACGACGACGCCGGCTTCTCTCTCTCTCTCTCTCTCTCTCTCTCTCCCTGCCTCCCTCCTTCCGAACGCGCGCGGCGCACTCTTCGAATCAATGATACTGAGCTTGCGCGTTGCTACTCCTCGCCCGGCGGCTACGAGCGTTTTCAGTACGACGGTCGTCGGTCCCTCAGGACGACGTGGCTATGTGTTGGTGAAGCTGAACGTCGTCGTCGTCGTCGTCGTCGTCATCGCCGTCGTCGTCGCCGTCGTCGTTGCTGCCGTGGGGCTGTCCGCAGAAGGGAAAGGAACCTAACAGTCGCTATCACCAATCGGATAATCATGGCTACTAATATCGTCACTACTAACAACGCTGCAACTACTACTACTACTAATCCTCGCCGTCCTGCCGTGATCGTCGCCGTTACAACGACCAGTTGTGAGTGAGTGTGCGTTGCAATAGTAGGCAACGCTTCGCAGATACGCTTACGCGGACGGCCGATTCGAAGCGACAGATCTCCCCGTGTACATAGTTGTGAAGTGTTAAGAAGATATCGAGAGTGAAAGAGAACGAGAGAGAAAATGCGGCTGGCGCTTCTGCTGATGCTGCTTGGATGCTGCTGCTGCCTCTGCCTCACGGCTAGCGCACAGCAAGAGGAGGACATACCGCACTCGGAGTGAGTATTCGTCTGCTTCTCGCCAGTGCCATCGCAGGCGCGACGTTACGTAAGGCACAGCTCGAGGACGAGCCAGCCTCGTGTCGTCCCGACGAGCCGCTACCGCTGCCGCTGTCGCGTAGCGCGAATCTCTCGACACGATTGCCAAGTGTCCGCTCGCGGCCGCCACGCGCGCCCGATTAACTTGTAATCGCTCGTAAAAATCAGCACCGGCAAGCCTGTTATTTTCTCCCTCCGTGCGCCTCTGCGTGAGCTTCTTTACGGGGCCGAACAAAATCAATAAAAAAAAGACGATCGCGCTCCTTCTCCTCGCACGTTATGCACCCTCGTGCACGTTTCCGTGATGCAGATCGCAGCGAGTACCAGACAGAATGGCTCCAACTATATGGCTTCGAAGGGCCGCTGGTCACTCGACAGGGCGTGAAATTCCAAGCTCTCGCGCGTCGAGCCACGAGAGAAAGAGAAAGAAAAAGAGCAAGAGAGAGAGAGACAAGCGCGGCCTACTCCTCCCTCTCTCCTTCGCACGGTATAGTAGCGTGTGTACGCTATTTACTATGAAGCTACACGTGTATGTGCATAAGTCTTGGCGATTGCGATGCAAAAAGAAGGAGCTTTTTCAAGGATGATGCGGGTACTTCCGCGGCTGCAGGTGTTTGCACTATATGTGCGTGCGAGATGAGTTTAGTTTATCGATTTTCTGCATGAATGCCGCTGTTCAGAGAATGAAGATATGGGTATAAGGAAGAACTGAAATTTGCATGAAAGCAATTGCCTATAATTGAATGAATTCGTTCGTCGCGGTTCAGTTTTTCACGAAAAGTCATTTGTATTCTTTTGTTGAAAATCAAACTCGATTTTCGATGATTCTGAATAAAGGTGAAGGCCATGACCATTGGATATTAGAAATTTAAATGGCTTGAAGGATTTCGATCTACCGACAAAATCCTTTATTTCATTATCGATCTTGAAAATTTACAATCGACGATTGCTCCGACCATTCAAAATTAAATAGTCGTTCTAATGAAAAATCTATGCATTGATAAGTAATAACTTTGCAACAAATCTCAAAGTCTTCTTAGTATCCATAAGCTCAACCAACTTTGGAATTTGCTCAAAAATGAAATCGGCAAACTTCTACTTCATTATACGTTTCTCTGATACATACTGATAAGAAAAAATAAGTGATTTTTTCTTGATTTTATTCATCTGATGCATAGTTTCAATCAGTCAATCACGAGGCCACAAGAGAACGGCGTATAGCTGAAATCCATATGCTATTCTGTCAAGGATATCCTATAATTTCAGTTCAAATCGGCAAACACATGATGGATTGATTTTGACATGAATATATACAACCGCGTCATCGATATATGCGACGTAAAAGGAAAAAAAGATTGCTGCGTGCAACGTCGCGTTTTACGTTTATAAAAGTAGACTTTGTCGGATTTTGCAGCAGATTGAAGATTGATCCCGTCGGTAACTTGGACTATTCGTAAACTTGTTAACAATGGATTTTATTTGTTCCCAAAAAAATACATATCGCAATCAAACTTGGTTAAGCGATATTATCGACCTTTAGACTCGTCTCTATAGAAAATTAAGAAAAAAACAATATACACAGATACGAGGCTATCACATAATCAACGCCGAGCGATAGCAATCCATCGAGAGAGAGAGAGAGAGAGAGAGAGAGAGAGAGAGAGAGAGAGAGAACGCTCTCGCAATACAAAAGTACACCCTTAGGGCGAATATAAGGTCGTCGCTCAATCACGCATCCTCACTCAAAGGACACACGTACATAAATGTGTATATGTGCAAGAGCGAGAGAGAGAGAGAAAGAGAGAGATTTTCAAGGCCTCCATACATGCCAGAGAGAAAGAGGAGAGAGAGAGAGAGATTGGCCCCTCCGGGCCATTGCCATTGTAGACGAAAGTTCGGCGGTGCAAGTTTCGCGCTGTAAATTGCGAGAGAGCGACCAACTTTTTGGGGGGGAGAGAGAGAGAGAGAGAAAAGGCTGTGCCGAGAAATTACGGAGGATCTTTCTTTTCAGCGCCCACTTTACTTTGCGCCGAGAGAGATTCTTCTTCTTTTTTTCTCTTGCTTTATCGCCAAGCACACTGAAGGGCGAATTCTCTCAAGGTATTGGATTTCGGTACCGGCGATACTTCTGATTTACCTTCACAGTCGGTTTACTGCTACTGGTCGATGGTTGCCGCGATGATTTTTCGGACTCATTGCTCATAGCCCATACTGTGGCGTACAATCCGCTTTCGGTGTCTCAGATATTGCTGGAAAAATAGAAGTCGATTCGCGGATGCTTATTTCATTAATCCTTCTGATCGAGTTATCTTCGCGTTGAAATACAAGAGATGAACGATAGCAAAAAATGAAAGCTCGATGAAGAAATTATTTTTATAATGTATTTCACGAGTAACGAATGAGAAACTGGAATAACGGCGTCCAAAAATGTAGGTGGCCATTTCCGAAGTTAATTTAATTGAAAACATTTAAATGGAAGGGAATAAATTCCGTAAGTATATGATAACCAACATCTCATTAAGTACGCATTTTGCATAAAAAGTATTTTCAGCGCGATATTATTGTTGAAGCATAAAATTAATTCGAGCACATCCAAGTAACTCGACAGTTTAATTAAGAAATCATTTCGACAGTATATGCTAATAATTCTATTCTCGTTAGGGATAAGATCTTTTTCTCGTGCAGCCCGAATAAACCGCACTTTTACAGTCAATTACTTTGCGCGGGCACACGATGAATGGCTTTTTCGAGAGATGCCTTTGTGCGGCAAAGCTCAACTTGAAAAGCAAGCCACCGCGAAATTATGAATGAAATTTTTTTACTTCACCTCTTTGCTCCTTTCAACCATTCACCCTTTCAAAACCAACGTCGAGAGGCAATACGAGTGCCATCGTAAACTTGTCGAGGAGTATCCTATACACCTGCATTTATCAATGACAAATTAGCAGATACATCTGAAAACTTTCGTTTATTAACCGCATGGAACTCTACTTTTCCGCGCTTGGGGCAAAAAATTGTTTGTGAAACTTCTCTTTGCTCGCGCGCATACAACAACGACGTATTTTCTGTACGTCGATTGCTTGCCTGGCGTTGGAAAATTACACGTCATAAATGTTTAAAAGAGAGGAAGGGAAAAGCAATCGTAAAGCGTGTTTTTAACTAAAAAGCATCCGCGCACTTCTACTCGTAATTCACATCTAAAAGATATAGCTTGCAATTATATTGATGTTCATTACACTCCCAAGATAAAACTACACTTCACCATTATTCTTCCTTTGCTGAGAGGTCAAACTATGCACAGTGCTTGTTATTGAGCGAACGCTGTTATGCTTAACTATCGCTCAATCTTGATAAAAATTAATATCGCAACTGTTGGAGAGAAAAAAATCTTCGGCGCGTAGTAGCAGTAGTAGTAATCAGCGTCACATTTCCGTGAATCACGAGAAAAGGCGGAAGAGAGGAGAGCGCATATATGCAGCAGCGATAACACGACCGTTCGCGCGCACGCGAAAATTCCATTCCGCAATAAACGGCTGAAAAACTCTCCCCCGTTTTTTCCATATATATAACGACGTATGTTTGTGTTTTGCGCGCGATACGCAATTTATGCCGAAACTTTAAAGTTGGGCTTGTATTTCTCTACGGCGCGCGCGCACGGACGCCAAGGCAGAGCGAGAGAAATATTATTCGTCGAGGGGTAAGCAAAACTTTTCAGCGCGCAGGAGGATTCAAAGCGCCGGAAATTGAGATACGTTGTAAGAAAGGGCTGCGCGCGTGTTGTTGCAGATGTGCGCACACGATGTTCACCTATACCCCAACAGTTTTCTCTTGTATGGCGAAAAAATACGCTGGCAGATTATTACGTTGTTCGCTTCTCCCGATTATTTTATTTTCTTGCTCGTTTTCATCAATTTAGTTGTTTCAGTCCAATAAATTTCTTATACTACCTTTACATTCTTAATGGCGAATATTATTAAGTTAAAAAATAAAACAGGTAATATTTCTTTTGATAGGACAAATTTTTATTTTTAGCGAGAATATTACATAAAATTAGTAACAGCTACTCTTTTTAATTAATAAACACAATTTTTTTTAATTAACAAACTTTTGTTTGTATTTTGTGTAACTTTGAAAAATAATCTACTTAGAAGATAAGAATACTTTTAAGTATCCTAGTTTCTGTATGTATAGTTCTTATATTGTGTTCCATCCTATTTTAATGAATTTATTTAATGTAGTGTATTTTTGGAAGTTTGTATTTTTAGATGTATGCAGTACTTAATTTACATGCAGAGTGAAAATAATAAATTGAAAATTAGATAGAACAAATTTTGAAATTGGTTTTCAATGCTGAGTCAAACTTTCAACGTTGAAACTTTTCAATGTAGGTTCTAAAAGTCATTCGATTAACATTCAAAAAAAAAAAAAAGAAAAAACAAACGTTTCCCCGAGTAGGTACGATTAAATCTCACAAAAGAGTCAAAATCCATTTCGGGCTACTAAAATATTCTTACAAATATTCTCTTTTAAAATATTCGGCATTTTATTATCAATGTGCTGAAATTCAGTAAATTTGCTGCATACTCATAAGAATTTAACGCTATTGAAAATTGCATAAAATAACTTTTTTGGTGAAGCTCTTAAGACCCTCGAAAGCAGTAAGCTAAAGACAATATTTTAATCATCTCTGTGCAGACAATAAGCTTTATATACATTAATATCAACTTACCTCGTCATCGACTATATATATCTCACACAAGATTAGTGTCTTATAATTGGCTTTCAATACTCGACGCGGCTTTCACTTTGACGAAAGGCTTATAACCTTAAAAGGCTTTAAAACTGTATTGACTACATCTTACTTTCTCCCTTTTTTGCACAATGGAAAACTCTCTTGTTTACTGAAAGCTATCTTTCCTACTTTGTCTCTCTGTCTGCCTGTCTCTCTCTCTCTCTCGACACACTGAAAACTCAACCTTTCGATACAATCGATTTCAGAGCATTTAGTTTTGTTCACATTTAAATGAACGTTGCCTGCTGCTCCGAGATCCCATTGAAATTTAAATTTCTCCTACTCGCTTCTGATTGCTGCTTGCTGAATATAACAGAAATATTTCGAATAGAAGATTTTTTTTTCATGTAATAAAGTGCACATACATACGTGCGATGTGACAAAAATAAACTTCGATTAGAACGTTGTGTAACGGATTTACGCCGTCAAATTGAATTCGAGCTTATTCGAATGAATATCATTCTGACTGAAATCTCGTAAGGTATAATTAGATATTATATGAATTATGCAGAGAAAGATTTTACCGCAGATTCTTCATATGAAACGTATTTATCGAATATTTATAAATACAACCTTGTCAAAAAAACTTAACGTCAAAAAATTTCCGTACTTACAATAAAATTAAGTTTTTTTCTTATTTTTTATGATATACTTTTATTCGGAATAGAAAAGTTCTTGATACAAGATATTTTTATTCGTTTATTTCTTAAATCGATATTCAAGAATGAAACTGAAAATAAAATTTTACTAATAAAAACATTGCTCTAAATTATAACAAGCGGGAAAGGCACAATGCTTGAAAAAAAAACACTGTCAACTATATTAATTCAAAGATAAAGCAAATAAAAGTGCTTTGTCAGCACAGTGCAAATAAAAGGATGGATAACAACGAAGATAACGATAGGGAATTTCGATTGTTCTCAACGGCTGAGTCTACAGCTTGTAGCCAGTATAAAGGATATTTTTATTCCCGGTGCGTTTCAATTGTCAAGGAGTTTTCTGTAAATGGGGTCGCGTACAACACAAAACGTACAAGCGCGTTTAGCGCGTCTCTCTCTCTCTCTCTCTCTCTCTCTCTCTCTCTCTCTCTCTCTCCCACTATTCAAACTCAATTCAGGACGAACTAAAAGTTTGATCTGGGTTTCTCTCTTATGCACACGCGCCCATATATATATATATATATATATATATATACACACACACATAGTCTCATGTATATAACGTGGTGTATACGCGGGCGTTTAGTTTTGATAATCCTAGCATTGGATATAACGTTTCGACTTTGAATTTTTCAGGGTCGGCAACTGGGCCTTGAAATTCGGTGTTGACCTCTGGGCTTTTGGCAGGCAACTCACCAGAATGCACGACATTAAGCAGGTTGGTTTTATACAAATATATCAATTGATTTGTTATTTTTTGTATTCAATATAACAAGATTTCCAACATTTCCGCTATAGAAATATCGAACTCAGAAACCCGAAGTAAAGAAAAAAGACGGCCTAGTGCTCGTAAGGGAAATGGCTGCTGAAGTTAAAAATATGATGGACTTCAAAATCAATGCCGTGATGGTAAGGATAATCCTTAACTTTATTTCTTAGTAAATTTTCCACAACTACGTGATTGAAACAAAGACAGTCGATTCAAATGAACGATGAATTCTTATTGCATTAAAGAGCCGGCAAAATCTTATTTTTAATGCCAGCGAAACGAAAATTGCCTTAATTAAGCAAAGTTGCGTTATAACGTAGGAGAGGCGTTGAAGCGCCTTTCTCTGAGATTTTGCTCGAGAGCTGTGTGCCAAAGGATTACAATTTATCCAAGACAACAGTCTAGAATTTCTCTATATAAATTCATATTAAACACCCCCACTTATAAAAGTTTTATCCGGTAAAGCTTTATTTTATTTAATCAATATACCAAATTGCTGAATGGATATTTTACTTCTTTCAATGTACTATAATGTTTTTGACAAATGAGCACATTTGAAAATTGGTAAAATACTGTTTCCAACGGATTTGAAAATTTATTAAAATTTTTTTTTTCATTCCCAATCTCAGAAATATAAATGTTATAAATATATATAACACTCGTATATTGCTAAATTGCACGTTACATTAAATATATGCTAACGCGAATGCCTCTTATTAAATGGAACGTAATAATAGAAGGAAACATTATGTACAAATATTCACTATCGCGACATTTATTTTAAGATGCAATGATGTCTTCATACTATCCAAAGCGTGGATGACACGTGCTAGCGCCCCTATACGCTCACACATTTTCATTCTTTTCTGATACATAAATTCGTACCACACACCTACGCTCTTCTATAAACGGAATATTAGTTTTTTTTCCTTCAAGCATCGTTACATCAATTAGTATTTTAATAGGGTAATTCTGATTAGGTAGAATGTAGTCTATAGAAATTGTTACGTCGATACCGGAACTTGATGCACACACAAATAAAACTCCCGAGCGAAACAATAACACATGCCTTCGAGCCCGCGCTTTCGAAAAAAAATAGTCCATCTAGCGAAATACTCATTCCCGTTATTTGCTCATCACTCAGTCGCAATGTTGCAATAAATCGTCCTCGTTAACTAGGTCAGTAGTGCGTATATATAATTAGCGCATCTCAAATGAAAATATACAACATTTTAGAAACTTATGGAATACGCGGAAGAAGCATCGAAAGCAGCAGCATCGCCAAGTAGTACGAGTCAGCCGCCAAAGTACTACGCGAGCAAACATATCAATTTGTTCAGCGACGATGGTAAATTACAACCAGGCTCACGCGAGATGTATCTAACTGGTAACCGACATTTCGATCATATCGCCGTCAACCTCAGCCTCTCGGCGGTACTCATGCCGCCTGGCGTCAAGGACACTGGTAAGTTCACTTTCAACCGTTCGACTTTCGCGTACATATATATGTGTGTGTATGTTACTATTCTTGTTTTGCTAAGTATGCCATCAACTCTTTTTTTTAATTTTTTATTATTACCTTTTTTGGTCGATATTAAAGCTAACATAGATGTTTGTTATTTTAATCAAAAATATTGCTAGATGAAACAAGAATCCGTTTGGTTATGCAATAATAGCAAGTCATAATTTTTTAAGAATAAGTGAAGAATTGAGTAGATTGCCGTTATTTCAGAGATACAATTGATAAAGCGTGGTAAAAAATTCAACGTCATTCGTAGATTTTGTAAGAAAATTACTGTAAATTGAACAGAATACATATGCAAGTAGATAAGTAGTATTGTTCCAGGCATGTACCTATTTTGATTTTCTTTATTTTTATTAACTGTATACGTAAAAAGACAACCAACAAGCTGTTTAATTTCTTTTATTGTAAAATTTTTTTTTTTATTTTGAATGAATGAGAATGATGTATGTCAAGTAAAGAAACTTATGAGCACTGAACGAAATACAGTTTAGCATGTGAGAAAGATCATTGCAATATAAATACTCGCAACGTATTACATCAACACTTTACGTATCTTTTTTTATTTTTTCCTCGATACTTTGGGATGACAATAGATGCGGACGTGGCAAGCGGACTTCAATGGAGCGAATATCTCGACCCGCTGTTCGTCAACAATTACGAGAGCGACCCGTCGCTCTCCTGGCAGTACTTCGGCTCGACTTCCGGCTTCTTACGCCGCTTTCCTGGTGAGCCTTTTGTCCGTTTGCAACTGTAGTACCCTCGAGGCCTTCACCAGCCAGCCACACATGTTCCTCTTTTCCTCCAAACACTATTTTCACTTTCTTCTCTACCTCTTTTTTTTCTTTTCGTTCCGGATTCAATTTTTCTCTTTTAAAACTCCTTCTCTTTTCTGGCTTTGTTGCAGTTCTACAGCTTTTGAAAGCTGTTTAAAATATAAATTTTTCTGCGCTTTGATTTCAGAAAATTACAAAATTATTCATTAAAAACAGATTATTTTTATAAGATTTAATTTGAGATATTAGATCGAACTTTTTTCATTTGCGTAATGAAGTTTATCAGCTCCAATTTATTGGATAAGTTAGTTAGGGAAATCTTTAGATACTTTCAATCATAGGATTCAGCTAAAGTGATTAAAACTGAATGCCATATCGAGATACCTACAAACTTGAGTCTGATTCAAGTCAAACATTAATTTAATATATCAATTAAATAGAATTCTTATTTTCATTCTATTCAAAATCACCATGCGTTTTTAAACAAGAAGTTATTCTATCGTGCCTCGATATATATCTTTTGTTCACACGAAGATGAGGCAATTTTCATCACCAAACTAAGATCCTAAAATCCTTTAGCACCTATGCAAATAATGGTATTCTCCACGACGAATAATTTTCACGCGGCAACCCAAAAAATCCGTAGCAATCTCATGGCCACCAGTCGACACATCGCCAGTGCAAAATGGGCCAACGCGCGTGCGCGAAGTCGATGATTTCCGGCTGTCGGACTGGTTTGTCGGGGCGGCAACATCGGTCAAGGATCTTGCAATCCTCATGGATGGAAGTGCGCTGTCATACAGCAAAACCAAAGGATTGGCGATCGCGACTGTCAATGCTATACTCGACAGTCTCACGCAGAATGATTACGTGAACGTTTACAAATATGCTGAGAATGCCGAGGAGATTGTCAAATGTTTCAAAGATAGTCTCGTGCTTGCATCGCCCGAGAACGTTAAAGAGTTGAAGGTTTGAAAATTTTTTCTTACTACTAATTCGTAACTTTTAAGAGATAAACAAGTTGCACGAATTGTAATGTGATAATGACTAACAGTTTATGAATATTCTGAAATAGCAAGAAAATTGTTAAGTCAAGTGCGACGCGATAAAAAATTTGCGAAATTATATTATTTATAAGAATGCGTAACAGAGTGAAAATTCAATAATCTATTCTATAATTTATTCACGACTAGGCGACATTAATTAATGAAACTGGAAATCATTCTTTATAGACTGAAATATTAAATAGAGTTATCAGAGAAATGTAAATTAATGTTGAGTTATTAATGATTGCAACGTCAAAAAATCCATGGAATTAATATTCTCCCAAAGGTAGATTTCTCATCAAAATTTCAGAATAATTACATTCGAGCCCTAAAAATATTGATAAGAATCAACAGTGACCTTAATAATCCATCTACTAAGAATCGGATTAATCACTCAGCAAACAACGCCCACGCAAATGATGTATTTTTTTAGAACGCCATGAGCAGTTTGAAAGGTGACTCGTCGTCGAATATCTCAGCAGCATTGAGCACAGCATTCGAAATTTTGAATCGTTACAATCGCTCATCTTTGGGTAGCCAATGCAATCAAGCGATAATGCTGGTTACGTCGCGTACCGACAGTGCACCTGAGGAACTCATTAAACGATACAATTTCCCGCACATGCCAGTCAGAATATTTACCTATGTCGTCGGTGGTGACAGCAGTCAAGAGCTCAACGACATGTCGTGCACTAACAAAGGTATCGTTAATATATTCATAATAGGATAATAGAAAAAGTTAAGGTATTGTGGCTAGAGTGTGACTGTCTGACCATAGCAAGAGCTATTCTACTGATTATTTTATTTCAGTACGTCGAAAGATAGAAGCATTCGTAAATTGCTTTCTTTTGTTGATTTATATTTCAAGTCGGCGATAGTTATATATGGATATGAGATATGCATAAGTGATCCGCATAAATATATATTGCATTCTTTTACAAGATGGTGATTTCTTTGATAAATTTTAGTTTTTATATATCAGCTATTAATTATCTATTTGTGAATTAATGTATAAATAAACAATAAAACAATTATAAAAAAAGAACAATTTATATTTTTCAAGCAAAAATACAACAAGGATAAGAACTACATTTTAGAAAAATACAAAATAACTAGTATTTGAGTAATTTATTTCTCAAAATAAAATTCTCATCGAAATTTTAAGAGAAATTTAAGCAAAAATAAAAAAAAGTCTTAAATTAAGATATTTTAACTTGTATTCTCTTGAGTCACTAATATTATCGTTTACGAATACACCAGAAGACACTTTCCTCTAGCGTCGATTCATAATTAATGGCAGTTTCTCCATTGCGCTCGTTCCAGGATATTATGCACGAATTATCAACAAAGAAGAAATCAACAGCAAAGTCGTCGAGTACATCAAAGTATTGGCACGACCAATGGTTCTTTACCAACGCGATCATCCAATTCACTTCAGTCCGGTCTACGTCGGTGGCAAAGTAAGTCATTTAAACTCAAACAATTTAAACAAAAGAGAGAGAGAGAGAGAGAGAGAGAGAGAGAGAGAGAGAGAGAGAAGGCGCTTGTTATGGATAACCAGAACAAAAAAAGTTGCCAAATTGAAAAGAAAGACTTAGACAGTTTTCGAAAGGTATAACGAGCGACACTAATACGCTCCAAAATTGAATAAGTGCGATCAATTTCTGAGCACATTTCACAATTTCTCCCATCGAGCAAGCTCTGCAACAACTGAAGGAGAATCCCCCGCGTGAGCGCACTTATGGAAACTTTAAATTGATCTTCTTTCTAAAGTTTTCCATGCGCTTGCACTTACTACTACTTATTTTAAGCGCGTTTCGCAAAGGGAAAACGCGATAAATCCATAACCGAACCTCCCTGCCATTCTCATTCTCAGCTTCTTTCTCATTCTACATTGCCTATGGCAAATTTTTTAACTTTCATTCGGAACTTCTCATCCTAAAAGTATTGTTGTTGCATTTGTTTATCTAATTGAAAAATGTAATCCTTGATTGATTTTAATCAACAACCGTAATCCTTAATTATAATATTTAAAAGAGAAATACTATTCATCTTTGCTCGAGGATATAAGAAGTTCTTCAATCAAACAGATCTTATAACTTTCTGAAAAAGATTCTATTCAAAACGGTAAAGCTTTAGAACTGTGATATTCATGAGAAAATCGAAATAAGTAAAGGTTCTGTTTGCTCTATACTTAAAATACAAATAAGTGTAGGACAAAAATACATTTAAAAGAAGATATCTTCATTCATTCTTAAAATAACTAACCGGGAAATGATCGAAGCCTCACAACAAACTTAATTTTTATTCTAATCGTAGAATCAAGTTTACAACTTTGAAGCTCACAATCGTTATGCACTCAAACGTTATTTACTTTCAATTCTATTAATAACGTCCCACGTGATATTTCCAATACATTTTCATAAAAGCAATAGCGTTACAATAAGCAATAGCATTACACGAAATTCCCAAGTAAAGTTGACGTAATAGCGACCTTCAACTTATATTAGAAAGCAATCTTTCCGCCCCTAAAAACGATCTAAAATCAGATAAGCCATCCGTAAGCGCCTAAACGAATGAAGCACATACAATCGCTTGGTCATAAGGTCGAGGAATGCAGTTTCCGTCCGAGTCAGGGCAGAGGGCTTCGAGAGACATTAGTATCCGTCCTCGCAATCGCGTTCTTGTAATCAGATCGTCCGAACGAGGCAGAGAGTGTTAATTGTCTTCATAAACTTGCAGAGCAGCAGATACGGCTTAGAAGGTCAAGGCCAACTGATGACATCAGTCACGGCACCCATATTGGACCACAGGAATCACACGGTAATTCCACACCATACAGAGTGCATTGTTCGCATGCTAACATTTGATCACGAGCGACACACACATATACGGATTGAATTAAAAAATGAATAAATTAAACATTAAATTTTATTGTACCATGGCTTTTACGACTGAAAGAGTGCGAGATTATCCTTATCGCGCGTTAGTTTGGGAAATTGAAAAATCTTTTTTTTTCCTGTAGGTAAGAACTGCTAACTTGTTGGGTATCGTTGGACTTGATGTGCCGATCGAGCAGATACAAAAACTCGTGCCGCCTTACAAGGTAATAATGTAGCTGTAAACATTTTGGACAAACAGAATTAGCGATTATTTGACGAAAAAAAATTTTTAATTTACAGCTTGGAGTGAATGGTTATTCATTCCTAGTGGATAATAATGGCCGAGTTTTGTGGCATCCAGATCTACGACCGTTGGTAAGTTACTTACTTTTGAAAAAATGAAATAAAAAGACAATGAAAACCATCGTGTAATTATATATTATGCATTTTCTCGGACAAAACGCTGTACAGCCTGGAAATACCGAAGTGAGTAAACGTAGCGATCGTTTTTTTCCCGCAACCAATTATCCTACTTATCGATTGGTCTTCTTTCTTCTTCTATTCTAGTACGAGGAAACTTTGAAGCGAAAATACCTTAGCGTCGATCTGTCGGAAGTCGAACTTACTGAATACGACGGGCCGTCGCATTCGAACAATTCGCTGCTTCTTGATGTAAGTTGATTCGGCGAACGATATTATAAAGAAATCTTGATCTTTTATTACCTCGTGTGTAATTTCAGATGAGAAAAGAAATGATTGATCAGAAAGAAGGTGAAACTTATTTCTCGGTGAAAACCCATTACGACGATATGGTGAGTATCTTCTTTCAGCTTTACGAGCTGAATGGATGATATGCAATGTGTTTGATTGTGCTACAGAAACGAGTTTCGATACGGCGACACAATTATTATTACAAGAAAATCGAGGATACGCCATTTTCGTTGGGATTGGCATTACCTGAAGGTTATGGGATGTACGAGTTACACGCTGAGCAAGAGATTAGACATACGCATACGAATGGTGAGTTTTCTTTTTACTTTTCTATCCAATTGATGAACGTTTTGGTGATGGATTTCTAGTCAAACATTTACAAGCATGAGATTTCGAACTATCTTTGTATAGAAGCTCAAGATTTTCATCAATATTTTAATCATATTAATTGAGAGATTCATCTGATCTCATTAGCACAAATATTAATTGAAACATGAGCATGAATCAACTTACTATTAGAAACTTACGTAAATTAATGTTTTCGTGAAGAATGAAATTGTCATTGTTTATTCAATCAACTTGTCTGACAGTATTAAATTCAAACGGTACATTCAATGGAGAAATGTAAATGTTAAGTTTATATATATATCAAATACAAAAATGTAAGTCCAAAAACAACTCATGATTTCAAGCTTAGCTAAAAAAAATAAAAGAAAGCCCCTGAAAAAAAAGGTCCTTCCCTACAAGGTGCTCTCCATCCATCGCATAGGCAAAACAAAAATCCATTTGTCATGGAGCGTCTGATCAATATTCAAGCAACGTCGCGGTCGTGGGGACGGGAAAGTCGGCATGTGGCGGCGGCGACTCGAAAATTTCCAAATGAACAATACTTTTTCGCTCTCTTGCACTTAACGTGAGGAATGCCGCGAATTCGTAATACAGCATGAAAAATTGAGAGAGGGCGTTTGCTGCAGACGCAGCCTTAGCACAGAGACGCGAAAGCGTCGCGTCGCTTCTTTCTTATTTGCGCCTCACTCGCTCGCTTCCTTCTTTTTGGTGAAGCCAGAGGTATTGAATTCCGTGGCGACCGATAAGTGGCCGAGATTCTCTCTCTCTCTCTCACTCGCCCCCTCCCTTCTCTGTATACTGTACTGTACGCGACCGAGATTTATCGTTTGTTTTTTTCTATCTATGCTCTTGGGTCGTGTTGTGCGAAAGCTCACTTTCTTATCTACATACACGATTATTTGTTCACGCGGATTTCTTTTTTGGATACTTTTAATAGTATTTTTTAAATTATGCTTGAATGGCTCGATTCGTATGGAATTATTTTATATTCTCTGCTTTAATTCATATTGAGAAATCTCAATTTTTTGAAGAATTTTCATATCATATGTGTCCGATTGGTATTTCTTGAAACACAATACAGTTTGCTGATACTTTTCATGTGCACTCCTTTCTTACACAAGCAAACATGCCTTCTAAGTCGTACAAATACTTATTAAAATATTCAATGGGACGTTTCAAAGACCTGATTTAATTTAAAAGTCTGACTATGAATAATAAAACCCACATGATATAGAAAAAAAAATAACGATTACTTTACGAATTTCAGTTACGCAATGGTTCCAAGGCAATCATTGGAAGGTTCATCCAGATTGGACGTACTGCGAGTATTACTTCGAGTCGGACAAGTGGTTTGCCACGCCCGAAGAACGCGTACTACACTTTCTAACTCTGGCCCACGGTCAAGGTTGGAAATGGAGATCCATGCGGCCTAAATCTGCCAAATCGGCCAATAAACCAGAGAAAGACTCGTATTACTGTAAGCGATATTTTCTTTGGCTATATGTCGACGCGTTGCAAATTAATTAAAGGTTAACGTTCGGACTTTAGGGGATAATTTAGTTACGATATGTCGTGGCTCGAGCTCCCTCCGATTTTATTCGATTAGCACTGTAATTAGATACTTCGTGCCTAGGCATAATTTTCAGGCTTGCTGATAATTTTATAGTGCTATATAGCGCTTATCGATAATCCATTATAAAGTTGCTCATGCGAATAGAACTTGAAAAGAGAGAGAAAAAGCTGATTTGTTTTCTTTTTGGCAGGCGATAAGCGGTTGTTGCAATCGTTGGTTTTGGATGCATACGCGACCGAAGGATTTGGTAATCCAAGCCAGACGCCACAGAAGGAGGGAGAGTAAGTATACTAGCGCTCGAGACCGACAAACAACAACAAAGATATATATATCTATATATCTGCCACTGATAACTATTCACCATAAAAATGCACCATTTGCACCACTTGCACCACTGCACCAAATATTTAGTTGGTCAATCTAATCTATCTACCAAAGCCATAAATATAAGTTTGCTTACGAGACGAAACCTTGTTGAAGTTATTGAAAAACATTACATTTTAATGATGAAACTGATCAATAGGATAACTTATTGGTTTACATTGATGATTTAAAACCAGAAGATTTCAATGCACTATTTGGTTGATCAGTGTCGTCGATTCCAAAGCATTATTTAGCTAGAGCTAGAATATTTTATTCGAGTTGCTGTATCGATCATTCTTAGAACAATAGTTTTATGCAAAATAAAAACAAACTCTTTCGATGAATTAAATTTTATACTCAAAGCTAATTTATAAATTATTATTACCGTCTATTTTACGTAACAAAGAAAAAATTATCTTGAATTGAATGATACTTTTCGTAATAAACTATTCGAATTAACATTCAAGTTCTAGCTAATTTGAATATTGGCAAAACACATATTTAATAACCAAATGAAAAACAATTTTCAAAAATCGATATTGAGTTGCAGTTTTCCAAATAACATAATTTATTTAATTGTTAATTCATTTTTTATTAATAATATTAAAGATCGAAGACTGCATCTTGATAGTGAATTTCATAATTCATCAATATATTCATTGCAATTGGGTTATCTACAAAATTAACTGCATTTTTAGGTTTAATTGCAGCAATAAAATTATTTTTTTAGATATAATTTATTAATTTTGAGTATGACGTACAACTATTTCTTAACATACTCAACAACCGCTTATATTCTAGAATTTATAAGTTGAAATACACTGTTTTTTTATTTCTATCATTATCGCACTATGTATAATTTTTATTTACCTGAAATCACTCAAATTAAGTTAAATTTTATAAGAGCACTGTCTTATTTCTTTTCAATGCATCATGATAACCCAATTGCCAAAGCACACTTATCAATCATTTAATGTTATTCAATACTCCGATGAGGTTCTCCAAGTAACATTCACTGATTTTTAAATTCTTTAAAATGTTGTATTATGACAAATAAATTTCTATTCACAATCTTCGGAATAAAATAGAATAAAAGTTTAGATAGACGATCGACTGGTTTCACGAAAAATGCTTTTTTTTAAGCACTGCACATTTTAATGCACAAAATGCACCAACCACCACTAATTTGATTTACAAATGTTTATTATTTACTGTATATTTTTTATTATATTACTATTGTGTGTCTTCACCGCCAGCCCCATTGCCATACTGATGGCTGTACTGCAAAGGTAATCACAATGCACAATTATACGTTTAAAAAAGCTCGCTCGCACAGTAACAAAAATGTATATTGCACGGTAATGTGTACTAACATTATATCACCATGTGAGCTTTTATTTTTTATTATGTATATGCACAATGCACTTGCACTTCATCCCACTTATATGTAAGAGTGTGCCGTATTGAAATCATTTTATGAGAGTGGTGTGTGGTTGTTGTTCTACGTATTTAAAAAAATAATATGTTAATTGTTTTATTAAATTTTTTCTTATAAATATTAGCCTACATTGGATCAAGCATTAAGTAGTATTAAATTTTTTTAGTCAGACAACGAAAATAGTTATCTGCAATTCACAAAAAGCATTCTGATTATAAGAAATATCAGTAAAATTGTTATAACACTTCAAAAAATGTAAGCTATTTCAGAACGTATTCAAAAAGAAGATGATTGTACAACAATATCTTTAAGAGTAGACTTAAAGCTCGATGTACTTAAATGTGATATTTAAAAATGTAACGACCACATTTTCAATCAACTACTTCCAGTAAGCTTTCTTGAAGTAAATTTGTAAAAATTGGTTTGTCCAAACTGATCGTATTATTTATTCGGAAATCTTTTCTTATTCAAATAACATTTTTCAAATAATTTCAGCCTAAATACTACTAATCAATAAGAAAAGATAACCAATAATTTTCACGTATTAAGGCTAGAATAACTACTAACAAGTATAAACGTAAATATGTTTCTTTAACCCCTATAGTAAGCGTCGGAAATGGTATTGTTGGTAAAATTGTTTTTGATGAATTTGTATGAGTGACGTGACCAAATTGATGTGCGCGAGTATAAATGTTTCCAGATCCTTTGAAAATCCTAAATCCAACTAATCAAGCATTCGGGTTAATGTTTTGCAGCCAAGGTAAAGGAAGATTCGACGTTGTACGAAGTTTCATCGCAACGAGAAGTGGATTATTACGATGGCACGATCATCAGCCATACGATGACTCGATGGAAGCTCCGTGAGTTTGTAAAAAGAACTGTCTAGGCCATTTGTTTTCAGACCACTGAAAAACCAATTAATCCTACTGTTTTCAACATCAGGGACTTTGCCGACACGTACAGAAGATCGATGAATTCAGCCTGGTATAAAAGAGCGGTTGATCAACACGCGATCGAACCTGAAAGTTTCGTCTACAGTGTACCATTCGATCCTGGTATGATTATTCTGTAATAATTGAGTTATGGCTTTCTATGACTCACTTTCTATTGCATTTCATGTCTATAAATCCATCAACAGGTCGCTTTAATGTTCATCCATTTTTCGGCTAAAGAATGTCTGAAAACGCATCATATTAATGTATTTATATAATTGATTTTATTGTTTATAGTTGACAGACCACTGGTCACAGCAACGCACGCAATCTTCTTCGAGGAAAAAGGTCATAAAGCTCCAGTGGCTGTGGTTGGTATACAATTCAATCATGCATCTCTAGCATCGCATTTCGTTAACGTCACGTCCACGGTAAACTAGTTTAGCATCAACTTTTTGATAATGCTTGTTCTATTTGTGAACCTCATCACGTTCGATTTACAGTGTTCGGGCAATAATTGCAAGAAGAATTGCGCCTCCGAAGATTTAGACTGTTACATTTTGGATAACAACGGTTTCGTTATCATCAGCGAGAAAAATAAACATACTGGCAAATTTTTCGGGGAAATCGATGGAACGATTATGGATTCATTGGTTCAAGACAAAATATTTAAGTGAATATATTTGCAATTTCACATTTTTTTTTATCTAAGAGCACGACAACAAAAATTATTCAATTCAATAGGCAAGTTAGCGCAGTAAACTATCAAGGAATATGCTCGCCACAGTCATCGCAAATATCAGCGGCGCCCAATTCGGCTGTGTATTCAATTATGAAAACCATAGCTGCCATAGGTCATTACATGTTCACGTGGACGATCAATCTTAATTTGGCTGATGCATTAGAACCTGTATACGCTTGGGCTGCTGATGATGATGACGAAGGTAATTTTACAAAATTTTATTTGCTGATTATCAATTATTACTTCAAGTGTGTGTTACGGTATAACAATATACAGTAAATTAATAACACACAAAGAGAACATAGGCTTTAAAAATATTTATGCTCTCTTCGGAATCTATGATCAAAGTATCGATTTCGTTATTCATACAAATATTGATCGAAGTGAATCAAGACAAATAACAATACTCGGGCTTTTCTACAGACTTCTGTTTAATATTCATGAAAGGTTGTAGACGCATGTACAATGACCATATATGAATAAACACATTCAGTCATCCACTACATTACGCCGTAGAAGCACTTCTTAAAATATTAATGTATTTTTAGTATTCACGATAACTTACATAAAAGATGCATCGTAAATTATAGATATTGTAATTAGCTGTTCTCATTTGCTTGATTGAATTTGATTTATGCTTATTTAAACATTATCAGTTGATGTGCTTCCCACGTGAATAATAAAAACCAAATGTTACATATGGAAAATATAGAATTCCCAGAGGGCGACAATTACCAGCCAGGCATGATCGATGATGTAACGATAGAAAATGACAATGGACCTCCGCCAATGGTACAACAAGCGACTCCTCCACCATCTACATCTCACTCAACTACAACGAACATTCCGACGCACAAACTGCGTACTTGTGAAAAGAAAACGGACCTATATATTTTGCAACCAGAACGATTAAATACTCAACCATTGAAGGGTAAACTTACCAACTGTCATTCATCAGGCTGCGAAAGGTGTGTATCACAAAACAAATTGGAATAGTGCGCCTTAGTTTGACTGTTAAGATAATTCTAAATGAAAGACGTATCAAAATTCTCATTCGGTAAAATAGATCATGGCATTCGTATACTTAATCTAAAATATTATTTACAGACCATTCAGTTTACAAAAGATTGCCCATACGAACCTAATTCTCCTGGTAGTAGACACGGTATGCCCATGTGGGAACAAGAAACTTGGAATTAGGCCATTTGAGGCAAGAACCGAAGCAGGTGCATGCACTGCAAGACGCGAACGACTTTACCGTCGTAAGCATCCATCCAAATGCATCAGCTATCATCCTGAAGAGATGGAAATCAAGGTATGCGGTGGCGCATCCAGAATAATCAATTCTCAGTTTGGATTACTTCTCGTTGGTTTTCTCGTCGCTCACCTCACGTGACTCGGCGATCATTAAGCGAAACTCGCGCGTTAACACAATACGCAGTTGGAAAGTAAAAAAGAAAAAAATAATAACAGACTTCCTGTTGATTGCTGAATTGAGGAACAGTAGTCGACATATCGGTAAATTATCGACTGAGAAAGTGCCGTGAAAAAGATAGCTTTCTGGTTTTTACTATTCATAATAAAAAGAATAGATTTCTACCATAGAATCTGATTCCGTTAGTAAAGTTTGGAAGGAAATTTAGTCATTAGTTCGACGTACTAAAACCTAAATTTGTTACTGATTAGCCAAAGTACCATAGAAAAGTATTTGTTTTAACGATGAGAATATTTTTACACGTGTGGTAGTGTAAAAGTTTATCGCTGACAGAAAAACTAGAACAATTATACATTTTTATAAAGAATGTATGAAACCTACCACATATATCGTCCAGAAAAAATCAATTTTCGTTGTGCTATATTCAACGAATAATATTTTATAAATCTTATATCTACGGTAATAACGATTGCTTTAAACTACCATAGATAATATTAAACGTCATATAAAGGTTAGAACTTATATCAACCTTCGAGCTCAGTCGGTAAAGAAACTTGCAAATCGACAGAAAGCTACTATACCCAACGGCAGTCATACAGTTAACAGGAAAGTAAAAGTTAAATAATTTTCAACTACGTAAGTAACAAAAAAAAATAACAACAAAATAACAACGAGCGATTTTCAAAGAAAATTGTTCATAAATGCTACATATACCCGTCACGACAGTTTTCCTTTTTTTAAAAACAAGAAGAAAGAAAAAAATAATTGCGAAGCAATAGAACAGTAAACGAAAAATTCCAGTATGGAATAATGCGAAAATTCGAAATGAAACGCTCAGCTCCCTAGAGAAGCACAAAAAAATCCTATATTTTGCAAAACTCTTTCTTTTAAGAGAATTCCTGAGAGAGACAACGTGAGTGTAAAGAAAAAAGTGTGACAGTATTAAGCGCGTAAAAAACAAAAAAATGTTTTATCTAGCTTTGGCACACTCGAAAAGTAAAAAAATAGCGTCGAGAATAACTATGGTCCGAAACGAGGAGTCGAGACACATAAAAATGCTAACCAAAAGAAAGGACCCGAGACAGCTAGAGAAGATTGAAATTCCTGGCGCTGGCAGCCAGTCGAAAACAAGAGCTTTTTTCGTTTATCAATCGCAACGAGATATTACTGATAGGTGGCAAAAGGGGGGACAAAAAATTAAAAAATTCAAAACCAACACAATGCGCACATAACTTGGACTATTAAAATGAAAGATCTAAATGAAAAAGAACAAACGCGATGCCTACTTTAGGATAAGTATATCAGCAACTAAAACCACAAACCGTGAGATTATTACATGTAATCTAGGCTCGATGATATACATGTCATTTCTGCACAGACGTGAGAAACCGTCCACATTGAAAAAAAAAACAATAACTTCACTAAAATAAGCGCTCTAAATGGTTTTTCTATTTGAAGCGCTAGATCATTGTGCGGGTACTTTTTTGGTTGCATCGACCATTCGAAAAACGCGTGTTTTATAAACAATATAATGCTCTTTACATAATGCCTATTCAGTTGATAAATTATGATCTTGAAATGCACAAGTGTGCGTGTGGGTCAAAACCATAGCATAAAATCAAATAACTGATTGTTACTTGGATTTTTTTATCTGAAAAATTACTGATAGAATAAATATATGAAGATTGTATCAGATGAAAATATGATTACACTTGCGAATGACACACGCGTATTCTTACGAAAAGGTGCATTTTATGATGGAATTAGAATGAGATGCTTCCCTACTATAAATTCTTACATCAGTTCTAATGTAAGAAACATCGCTAGATCCCGTGGGATGTTTTCGCCCCCTATTTCTTATGCATGAACCTGTTCTCATGCAAGATCCAACATAAGAAATATATAAAAATGACTTGTATTCTAGTCTCATGAAAAATCTGATGCATGAAACTGTCCTCGCATATGATCTGACGTATGGTCAGATCATATGTAAGAAACCAAACTTTTATAAAAATTTATAATAAACAATGGTGATTACTTTGGTAACATGAACACTGTTATTTATTATAAAGTTTTATAAAAGTTTGGTTTCTTACATATGATCTGACCATACGTCAGATCATATGTGAGGACAATTTCATGCATCAGATTTTTCATGAGACTAGAATGCGAGTCATTTTTATATATTTCTTATATTGAATCTTGCATGAGAATAGGTTCAAGCATAAGAAATAGGAGACAAAAACATCCAACGGGATCTAGCGACGTTTCTTACATTAGAACTGATGTAAGAATTTTTAGTAGGGTTGGCTCTATCGTAAAAAAATATTGATCTATGACGTTTTTGTAAATTTACTTAACATTTTAAAACGCAATGACGGTCTACTATTTAAGCCTATTCGAACTGTTTAATATAACAATCTTACTTTTCGTTATAATCACGGTCTATATATTTTAAGCCTAATTAAGCAAGCTTAAACATAATGTCAGAGCCTAATTCACAAAACCAACCAAATTTTGAACTATTGAAAAGACATAAATGAACAGCACAAATAACCGTAAATTAAAAAAAAAACACAGGTGCCTTCGAGTTTGATTAACGAAGAAAAATTTAATACACTACGTCTGAGACGACATTCGGCGCTCGTCGAGCAAGAAAAACTGGTTGACGATGAAAATGAAAACAAAAGAATCGCTTAAAAAGCGTTTCCAAGGCAACAACAAATGAAATAAACAAGGACGATGCTTGTAAAGCGTCCTGTAGTAAAATATAAAATCCAACCCAAAGGCGCGATGCGAGAGAAAATTCCGTTCAGCATTCCCACAGTTACTTGATGTGTGACTCTCATGTGTGCGTATGCGTATATATTTGACCATGTGTAGTTTGTCCCCCTTTTCCTGAGTGCTAGAGAGGAAAGGACACACCATTTATATAGTGACCCGAAACACGGATACGAGGAATCTTCTTAATTCTTCTTTTTCTTATTTCCGTCGTAGCGGTTTATAAGGATAAAAATACGTTGACACTGTTGACAATATATGTATTCATGAAGTATTAACCACAACCTTTTGCGAGCTCTTATTAAGCAGCGCGCGTTCGCCAAGTTTTTACGCTTCAAAGTGGAAAAAAAACAGAAAAGCGAACGTAAAGATAGGATTTAAAGCAAGGAAGAAAAGAAAAAACCATGAAAATCGTTGATTATTAAATGAAAATTCCTGTTCTTTCATTTTTGAGTGTTGACAAATTTCTAGTGTATCTTAAACTGATGATCTTAGGATCGTGATGTCTATCCCAATTTATGAATTTTTCTTGCAATCGCCGTGTATACAGTGTCTCTTTGCTGCGAGGATCGTTGGAAATCTTTATGGCTTGCGAAAGCATGAATTTTAACAAGTTATTAGTTGTTAATTTTTGCTGTAATGTGATATACTGTTATATTTATTAGTCTGAAAAAATAATTAGGCTAGTGTTATTTAGATGATTTATTTATTGTTGTAATGAAGATTTTTATATAGAGAGACTAACGAAAAAATGAAGCATTATAAACGATTATACTAGGAACGATGACAAATTAGAGCAGTTTTATTTACGATGAGGTTTTAAATAGTTTATAGGAGAGAATATTAGCTAAAAAGTACAATCGAGAATACTTATATAAGTGTAGATAGAACAATAACTTTAGTTTATAAAATCTTTGGTTTAAATATTAAAAAATAATTGTTTACTTACGAAGTAGTGCAATATTTATCGTTGACATTTGAAAGTGATAAACGAGTCATAAAGATCAAAGCGATTCTCAGCGAGGAACAATTGAAAAAAAAAACGTGAGAGCGAAGGAAAATTCTATTAATGTATTATAAACAATCTAGATACATAATCTTAAATTGTTGAGAAAGAGAGAGAGAGAGAGAGAAAGAGAAAGTGGAAAAAATGAATGAACGAGGAAGTAAATACGAACCTTGCAGACAATACAGCACATTATTAGAATTTGTACTCCGTGACGAGGCTTGTGAAGTTCCGCGCGGTTATTTTAGCGTATATAAAAGGTATATATTATATATACATACTTAATATATATTACATAGATAATAAAGGTTACTGTTGTTATTATTATTATTATTATTATTATTATTATTATTATTATTATTATTATTATTATTATTAATATCAAGTTTTTTCGCATAAAGTTTCAACGGTTTTACAGACATCCTTTGAAACGAAAACAAGAATTAATAATAACAAAAATTGTAAGACACGTTCTCGCATCGCTCTCGATATTAAGATCGAAAAATATAACATAAAAAGATAATATAAAAAATAAAAAAGATGGAAGACGAAATTCTATATGTATATGTATATCCCTAAAAATCGTATATAAATATACGAAAAACAAAACTTGTGATTAAGGACAAGCAAGAAAAATTATCGCAAACTTTTACGACGCTCTGAGGTTTCTTTTCGAAAGCTAATCATTTATATTATAATATACACTGGCTAATTTTTCTCATTCTCAAAAGAGATTCTCCGAAAATTTTAGAGAAAAAAATTTGTTAGGCGTAGAAATGAACAATTGTAACATATATATTTTATTATTAAGCTTTTATAAATATCTATGAACAAAAAAAGCTTTAAAAGAGCGAGTCGTTAATTCTAGACGTGTTTTGATATAAAACGAAAGAAGAAATAAAAATAAAATACAGAAGTATTAAAATTTTTAATGAATAAAACGAAAAAAAATCAAGATTTTCACTGTGTTTTGCTGGAAAATATTTAGAGTAGTTAAAACTAAACATGTATCGCGTGGAAAGAATGAGAAAAATAAAAACGACTGCTCACCGTTGGCTTCCAAGAGAAAAAACGAGTCTATCTATTACAAAACAGACAAACTATCTACTTGCCTAAGATGCATGGGAAAAAATGGTCTAAGACTACTTTTTTGACTCTTCTTGTGTTTGCTCGAATCTTTTAAACGTCCTTTGTGCGCAAATTAACAAACGGCGCTGATGAAAAGAAAAAAATAAGAAAATTAAATGAAAAATAAAAAAATATGCCAGTAGCCGCGTGTCTCTTCTCAGTAAAGGCAAACGGAAAAGGGACCGAACGGAACGGTTGATAATAAGCAAAAAAAATTGATTAAGGAGAGAAACAAGATAAAAAAAACAACAGGGACACGCGATGAAGGAAAAAAGAAAAGAGAGCGCGGAAAGTGTCCCTGGATACTACTAAGTCTTCCATTATTCATACGTTAATGTTTAAACTGATGAGTATATTTGAAGTGAAAATAAAACAAAGAATATAACGTGTAACATATTAAATTTATCGGATTGCATCATATCGATAACTATTAACTATTAAAAAAAATATTATCAACACAAACACAACACACCGAGCGAGAGCACGTGCAGCGAATCAAAGAGGCGAGTTTTCTTTAATTAAGCAGCGATTGCTCGATCCTTCATTATAGACAATAACTCTCGTTTGTATGTAGTTTGTAATTCTTGTTTCTATAACATTTTCCAAATTCAGCTTCCTCATATTCATGAAACTCTTCAATGTGAGATGTTATATCCAACTTACACTAAAGTAACGGCAACGACATTCATTTGTTACTGTCTCTTGCTATATTTAATGTTGGTACTGATAAAGTGTGCATATCTGTAATTTCAGCATTCTTGTCAGTCATTGTTCCAAATTTCAAAGTCTTTCATGAATTTCTAACTTACACAATTATCGTCGTTACTTTTGGTAAATATTCCAAGTTCATGTTCAACTGTTTGGAGAATGTTAGAATACCAATCAAAACCCTTTCGACCGAGAAATCGCTTATCAAGTCGAATTGAATGTGAAACAAGGGATTAAGTGGCCGCGAAGCATTGGCCTATTTTTGTACAGTATACCTTTGAAACATATATAAAATAATACTACTCGCGTTTTCTACACACAATCATTTTTTTCTGAAAAATAAAAAAAAACGGTAACTTATTTCCCTCGTTATACTGGAAAATAAGATAACAAACTCAACAGAGAAACGCAAACTATAATATCACATTAGAATAACTCGCCTCTTTTCAAGTCGTCGAATCGTTTTTCCGGCCACGTGTTAATGTACACAAAAGTATTTATAAGCTTTGCGTTTAATTGCGTTTGCTATAACAGCATGAACAAAAGATTATATAAATTGGCAACTCTTGTAAATTTGATTTTTTTCCATTGATATTCGCTACTATAAAGAATTTTTGTGATAAAAAACAAAATAAAAATTGAAAATAACAATTTGTAACTTTTTGTTCGTGCATTCAATTGAATAAAAATTAAGCATCGAGTGATCCTTCGATATCAATGTTAATGACAATAAAAGAAAAATGTTCAAGTATTATAATGTTTAGGGGGAAATCATTTATTGGCTTGTCTTCGTACTTTTGTGCACTCATACACTGATGATTTTGTGTATATCGAAAAAGTGTAGTTCAAAGGTGTTACACTTGTTCGAGCACCAAGAATGAACACGATGTATTCGGTATACAACCCTTTAATTGTAAAAAGAAAATGAAACTAAAAATTGGATCACCAGATGTATAACGTTCATTTCATCGATTGTCGTTCAATTAAGCACTTTTTATGCTGTGCACTGCTTTACATCAAAATTATCTTTGTAAAATCTTTACAAAATTTCGACGTCAAAAAAATGTTTTGCAACTGTAATTGATTGTTCAACCACTCGTTGATGTAAAGCACCAATTGAATTTTTCGCCTCACTAAAGGTGAGCTCGACAAAACCAACTAATAAAAAATCAAAGATTTTTTCGAATTGAAAAAAATAATACGTGGCACATCGTTGCACTTCTTAGCCTACTCGTGTATGCAATTTCAATTACCCACTTCAATTATCAGATTCGATTTAAATTCACTCGAATTCAATGTGACGCAAAAGACTGCAGAGATTATGAGATATATAAACGACAAAGAAAAAACAAATAAATAAAAAATGGAATCTTTAGCGACGTAGGTTTCTCATTTTGTAAATACGAGCCCTCGGAAATATTTAAACAAAGAAAAGGAAGAATTTTGAAACGAGTATACTGCGTAAGATGACAAAACAACACAAAAATTCGCTTCCCGCAGCTGAACTCGGACAACAACAAAAATGAAGAATAATCAAAGCATATGGACATTGTGTTACACATTGAATTTAAAAAATTACTGTAATTTACTCAAATCATAAGGCTTCAAATAGCTTTCAACAGGCTCTCAAGCAGGATCGTGAATTCCTAAACATACATTTAAAGATGTAAAAATACTGAGATCTATTGTATAGCAATAAAATAATGTATTATGACAAGTGTCACTTAATTTTCTGTTTTATTTATTTTCTTCCCTTCTGAAAAATTTTTTGTTGTGTTGCATATAAAAATATTATTATCTAGACATAAATTTGCAATAACACGCTGGTAAACGTTCCACGTTTAAAATAATAATAAAATGGAAACTATATTGCTTATTCTTAACGTTTTGTTCATCTCATCAAGAGGAAATTTAACAAAAGCTTATTTCAATTTGTAATACTAAAAATGAAAAAATACATGCACGTGTGCTGTACCTTTCTATTCTACATTCAACAAGTATCAGTTTTTTTTTAAATGCCTTAGATCGACATGGTACAAAACTACAGGAATCAGCATCGAAAATTTGCAAGCCAAATCCAGACAAAATAAAAGAGGATTTACATAACGAAAAATTAAAAAAACAAAGATATAAAGAAAGAAGAATTTCTTAAAATTCACCACTTACTTTTGAAGAATATAAATATTGAACTTAAAGAAGAAATATTGATAATCTGTTAAGGCAAAAAAGATTATTGAAGATGCATAGATAAACATCAAACTTAAGGTAATTTACAACAATAAATTATATGTTGATCTTATAAATGATAATAAAAAGTTACTTTGACGTATGCAGTTACACTACATGGCACACATAAATGAGAGCGCTAAATGTTTCTCTGACCCATTGACGACTTGGATAATATGTATAAGAAATTTTTCAACAGCGTCAAATATTGTGAGGCCAGTGTTCACGAAACTTTTGAATGATTAATCAGAAATTTTGGTGCATTTAAAAAGGTAATGTTAAAAATCAAAGATAAAACACATTTTTTTTATTTACACAAACTATTTTCTAAAGAGATTCTTTAGGCTAGCAAATGAATTATCAAACGGTTACAAACAATTTTTTCAATCTGTACTTCAGTATGAGATGACAAGCATAAAATGTGACATTTGTTTAAAAATATACTTAAATAATCTTGTATTTTTCCTATCAACAGTCTTTGATACAAAAAGAAATTATAAATATTATAAAAGTTGTATGTTCTAATGCTAAAAATAATAGATAACTAAAAATTTACAAAAAAGTAAAAATAAAAATTATTACTAAAAAACCTCGGTAAAATTGAAGCGAGGAAAAGTTTAGATTCTATAACCTTATCAACAAACATTGACAGGGTCATTAACTTTCAATCAACCAATTTCGTTGGCAAACCCCTAACAATGATTGCAGCGGAAGTCATGTATTGTTTGCATACATCCTTGGATTTGGCAACTGCAACGAGCATGTTATCTTCGAATTTAATTTCATTACGCGTACCTTTCTGGAACTCTAAAAACAGTAAATATTTGGCATATGTATATTTTATACAAAAAAAAGTGCTTATCTTAAAATGCAGATTTACCTAATTTTCCTTGATTCCATAAAGAAAGATTTACATCAGACCACGATCTCTTAGCAGATGATGGAATCCATTTACTCAAAAAATTAGCAGTCATTCTATCAATATCACCATCTGTTACCTCCCATAACATCCCTAATATACATGGACTAAACAAACATTCAAATATATTCTAAGATATTGTAGTAAAAATTAATTTTTACTCTCAATGCTTTACCTGCAACCCATCAAATACTGATTAGAAACTCCGTATGACGGGTTCCTTCCACCAGTTGGCAAAAGCTTTATACTATTGCAACCAAATAATAAAACTAACGCTAATATACGCATTTTTTCTATGTCTTCACCCTTTAGAAACTGTATGCCACTACCATGTCCATTGTACCTGAAAAAAATCGCTAATTACATAAACAACAATCAATAATATAAACAAGTACCGTACTTACATTAATATATGATATTCTGTTAAAGTTTTTTTAAAATATTCTAGTTCTGGTTTGATACTGTACAAGCCTTTCCACTTCGGTAGCCAGTATTCTAAGAATAATTTCATTCTAATTTCCATCTTTGTTAAGTCTAATGAAGGATTGACAATAAATGTACCGAGATTTTCAGACTTTTTGATCAGTTTGTATCCATTCTTCATAGTATTCTTATGTTGATTATACAAAGCATATGCAATATGCAGAGAAGGAAATCTAGTCACTGGTTGATGTTTTAATATAGTAAAAGACTCATATGAAAAATGATCTATGAACTATTAGGAAAAGATATTTATTTTATTTTAATATAATTAAAATTACCATGATGAAAGAGAAATTAAAAAATCACTTACTTCATCTACAATTAAAACTAATATTTTTCTTCTAGCATGCAACAATGGCTCCATAACTTTAGTTTTAGCAACAATTGATAATATGATATTTTTTGCAAGCTTCTTCTCTGAAGATAAAATGTACGTTACAGCTCTTTCAATTTCAAAAGGTTGAAGGTAGCAGGCTCCAGTGGCAATTTTTCTCAATAACCATCGAGTTCTCTCTGGCATATCTTTACTAAAACGAATAATTGACTGTAAGAAAGCAAGCAGTAAGTAACTTCTATCAAAGATATACTTACACATTAGAATCTGCAATTAGCTTGTCTATCATATTATAAACATCGTGTACTAAATCTAAACATTCTATATAATCTGCTAATAGTAGAACTCTCCACTCTCTCAGCCAGGAAAATTCCAATTCGAAAATTGCTGTCTATGAATAAAGCATGCATGATTGATATATACATCATTTTCATAAATATGATACCTTTTAATAGAAAAATACTCACACTCATTCTATCATTCTGTTGCTTACGCATTTTCCAATAGAGCTCATTATTAGTATAAGTAGCTGTCAGATCAGACTTATTGCTATTTAGTATCATTCCTACTTCCACACGTACGTCATATGAAGAATCTCCATGAGGCTTTGGTAGTGTAATGCATATGGGATTGATAGCATTTTTTCCAGTTGGAAGAACAACAATATGAAGACCATTCATAGGCTTCAAAGTATATTCATTTTTTTGTCCCTTTGATAGTCCACTCTTTAGTTCTGATATGTGTTCATGCTGTGATGTTAATTGTAATACATACCAATCTGAAAATTAGATCACAATGTCTTTATATTATATTTAAACATTAATGGATGCATTTAATATTTGAATATAAAAGCATTACCTGATGGCAACTCTGCAAGTGTTGAAACAAGCTTATCAGGATTTGTGTTTGCATTTTTTAGATCAATGTCTAAATCTTTTGGATTTAAATTATCAACCAATGATTCAGATAGCAACTCTGCTCTTAATTTAGATTTTAAATTTCTATACAATATTTGTTGTCGAAAACAGGATGCATGAGACATAACAAGATGAGAGCATGCTTCAAGTTCTCTGTTATCCTGGAAAAAAATTTTATTACCCAGAAATGTTAGTTCACCTAACTTATTTAATGAGACAGCCTTAAATAAATCAAAGTAACATTACATTGAAAAATGTGTAAATTATTTGACATTAATAAAATTAAGTTTTTCTAAATGTGTAATTATATAATTTGATATTAAAACCATTAAATTACAGTACAAATGTTTTTACAAATATACTACAATTAAAGTTAAATCAACATGGTTGCTTTTTTTATATGTATGTCTCATATAGATTGTAAATAAAATGCAATCGAACCTTATAACATTTAGTTGAATAAAAAAATCCCCGATATTTATCAAAATCAAAATAAAATTCAAAATAACTCACTGCAAGGCAAAGCAGAGCCAGCATTTTGCTCATTGATGCATGCTCAACGACAGCTAGATTGTGGCTAGTCTTTTTAAAGTACTGTCTCAATTGAGTACACAATTTCTTGAGTGAGGATACAGTATTATTTTTTACTGGTTCTTGTCGCTTCCTAGATCCAATGAGTCCTTGAACAGTTTCTTTGAAATTACCCGAATACAACTTTTCCTCGCTGTCAACGCGTTCGATCTGATTTTTGCTTAGATAAATGTCACTGCGCCCGAGTTTAGGATCGAGAAAAAGGCTCACTGTTCCTGGTACATTCTTTTGATAATAGGTTTGCTGCTCGCGGATGTCTTCGCTCGGTGATGACATCGCGATCCTCGGTACTTTTCTTTCACACGACTATCAGAATTAATACTGCGTGGTCGCGCCCGCCTTTTTGTTGTGTTTACAACCGTTGGACATTTAAATCTTGCGCAGTGCGCAGTCGTGTACATACCGCGCTCGAACGAATGAAAGAACTCAGCGGGAAATTGATGAAAATTGACCTGTAAAAATTATAGAAAAACTGCGCGCTGTTGACAATAATAGCGCAACTTATTAATAATTACGCATAATTAAGATTTCGTTAATAAAAAAATTCCAAATTTTGAACACTTCAAGATCAATAAAAATTGAAATTATCCCTTAAAAAGAAATAAATATTATTTCTCATTACAGCCATTTATCTGGGATACACCTGAAAAATCAGTAGATAACGTAGACTCAAAAAGTATTGCACTCTGAAAATAAGGAATCACAAATTATTTTGAAAATATGCTGCAACAATCAACTACTTTAACATAGATAATACATTCCTAAAAATACTAGTTGTAAGAATTGTAATTTCAAGCAGTACTCCAAGATTTATCTAGGTAACAAAAATTCACTTTTAATCAATAGTTAACATTAGCAGTTATTTCAAAAAATCACCCACTTCAATTAAAACAGCTCTTATTATAAGAGCGCAATACCTCTTGAGAGGGTATATATATATCGTCCTACAAATGAATGTGGATTTATGTTACCGACTGATCTTTTTGGTGCATGTCCTTAATTAATGGTTTATAATATTTTGATTAGATAAAAAAAATGCGCGTAATTTTTGCTAATGAGTCAACGTATTCATTTCTATAAAAACTACATTACAAGTATTAAAATGCTACGCATATTGTATATTTAATTTCTGCCTGATCTGGGAATGTTTTACTTTCGACATTTTTCTATTAACAATAACTAAATTGTACGGAATTATTAATTAGTTTTGCTATTCTTACCAATCGTGCGAGTTTTTCTATAATCTTTCCGGGTCGATTTTAGTCAATTTCTCGTTGAGTTCCTTTATCCCCCACACTCAGCAATACCGCGATATGTAGTGGATACTATGATTTTTATTAGTAAAAATTTTTACAGTATAAGGTCACAACACCAGTATAATAATGCCAGAAAGGACGTGAGAATATAAATTTAAATACACAGTAGTAATAAATTTATAACTTATACTTTACAAACTATTAGTGACATAATAATATTCATAATACTGTATACAGCCCGCGAAGCGACATCTGTATTGCATATACGTTACGCGCGAGATTTGAATTCATTTTTTGTAACTATTAAAATTGTTTCATACATATTATATCCAATGCTAGATTCTAAAAGAATGAATTTACTAAACTAATAGTTTTGAAATTATTCAAATAATAATATTCAATACTTTTCCTCTAATAAGCTATATATTTTAAAAGTTAAAAATGTTAAACATGTTAATTATATTATTATACTATTTTAAATTTGCTTACACTGATAAATACATTTTTATAAGATGTTAATACAACTTATCATTGGTAAATTTTACTTATTCAAAAATAATTGAAATGAATAAGTAAAAAGAAATAGGTAACATTTAGGTCTTCTCAATTTCACCAGCGAGATTTTCTAGTAAATAAAATTCATAATGCGGAATAAACATGTGGATCCTAGTAAAACAACTAAAATAAATCAGACACAATACCTTGCCCAAGGCGTATAGATAGTTGCCATTCACAACGGTGCGCACATGCAAGTGGGCGGTAAACGATAAGCGACGAATACTCACCTTTATGATCTTTCAGCAACACCCACTTTTATCATCCCATAAAATCGAACATAGAAGGTAAGCGTGATCGTTGTATAGGTGTTACGTGTGCAATAAAAAATACTTACAAAAGATACTCCTTTGTTTTATTGTCGTTTCTTAACGTATATGCCAGTCGTATATATACTTACCACATTTGACTCCTCTATTTAAAAATGTATGAACGATTAATTCCATTTTTTGAATGTTGTAAAAAATATGAAAACTCGTATTTTGTAATTGAATCTATGAGTATGATTTTTTACAGAAATAAAACTGTAAACAGTGGGTATTGAAGATTTTAGGTGTTAAGATTGGAAAAGCGTTCTGTTTGTTTTTTTTTTTAATGTTTTAACATTTATTTTTATTTGCGTGATTATTACTTTTGTTATTTGCTCGAATATTGAATTTCTGTCAGACCTATGATATTCTATAAGATATATAAGAACTAATGAATGAACAATTTTCTAAATGATATTTTCATTATGATTCATAAGGCCATATTTTTACACTGTTCGTCCGTAGGGATGTGCGTGTATAAGTGCTGTCAATTCGATATTTTTAACTTTGCTACTTCATAGTTTTGGTATAATTTTTGTACAAGATACGCTAAAACATGTTGAAAGGAAGATAGAATAATTACTTTGAAGGAGATGTATAGCAAACAACGTGTTTTGGCTTCCTCTAAAATATTACTAACTCTCACAAACTCGATCCATCACAGATTAATCTAGTAAGTTGATACATCAACGCATTAAATATTTAAAGTTTTAATAGCTCATAGCCTACCAAAGTGATAGTGAGAAGAAGGACAAATTCAAAAAGGAATTCATAAGCTTCTCTATCGAATACTAGCCGTTAACAGAGTTTCTTTTGTAGTTGCTATAATTCTGACTGCGATAAGCGTACGTGAACGGTACATTATCCACTCTCGAGATCTTTTTTCTTCGTTATAACGTTCGTGCATGTTCAAACATTCCGGTCCGTGTGTATGTGTGTATGTGCATTGGTGCGCGATAGCGTATATCGATCGCTGATTGTATCATCGCGTGCATATGCTCTTGAATATTCATGCTTTGGCTGTGTACCCCTTTCCTCTTTTTTTTACCTGGTTAAGCTTTCGTTTTGAATTTTGCCAGAAAGTCGAATTAAAAGCTTTACTATTGGTACAATTGCAAAATTTCTTTTATGACTGCAATTTTTTCAAAATGTCTTTAAACTGCGACTTGATGACAGGTTCTACTTATTTAGTGATTATTTTAAACTGCCAGCTTGAAGAAATATCTATTGTTCGAATATCGAAATGTTACCAGAATATAGACATATAGTAGGCTGCAGGTATTATTATTTACAAAAAAACCTTGCAAATGAATATTATTTACAATATGAATCTCAGTTTTACACGTTGGCTAAATAAATTCCAAGCAGTACAAACGCTGTATGTTTTTTTCAAACTTACTGATGAAAATGTAGAAAGAATATCTGCAAATTGTTTATTAACAGCATTCATCAATAGAAAAATTGATTAATTGACACAATTTTGGAATTTTCTTCTGACTTGTTTGAATTTGAAATATTAAAATCCACTTTTCAAAACAGTTCGACAGCTGACCTACATCCCAGTAATATTCAAATGTTACCTCTCCGCTTCCATTGTCTAGTGTTAACTCTCGAATTTCGCGGCTGTAAAGTGATGCGCGTGTAGGTATCGAATTGAATGCGTTGCTTTTACTGCAACCACAGGTTTTGGATGAACACTTCACTATTTTTTCCAATTATTTGAATTTTCAGACTGGCTCCGTTTCGTTGAAATTTGGAGTAGATTGGTTTTAATTATAAGTTGTACTAAACATTCTCTTCATTACAAGCTTGGTGAAAAAATGATTTTTTATATGGAAAACGAATTTTTTTAATTATACTAAAAGAAAAAAGTTAAAACTAAATATAACATTTTATCAGAATATATTCAACAGACAATACATTTTTTGAATTTTAAAATTATTGGATTGCTTTTCTATCTACTAGATATAACTTACAGTGCAAATTATTTAAGTAGATTTCATAATAGTTGTGATGAAACTGACTATAAATATGCATTGAGAATTTTAAAATATTTGTATTCGACGAAAAATCTTGAGTTGATTTATAAACGTAATAAAACTGCTGATATAATTATAAAATGTTTAATAAAAGATTTAAAGGTAAATTGCTCGTGAATTAGTCAATTAGGCAACATCATATCTCGATCTATCGTATATGTATACTCACATACAATAATGTATTACAAGAAAACGAATTTGATAAACTATGATGACATTTTAAACTCAGTTTACATTACACTAGAATGAAGAGTGAAAGAATGCCCGACAATTAATTTATACGGCACATCTTTTTCACTCGCTGGTGTCGCGAGAAAATATAGGGACAAAACAAAACTACAATATCGTGATCGCCATTAGTCACGACAAGTTACATAGCAGAAAAAAGCATCGCGATAATTGTAGTTACGAGCTTGGTTTATGATGTATAACTGTGCTCAATTCCATACTGTATGCTTTAGTAATATTTGCCAGTTGAAAGTTATTTTTTTTATTTGATATGGAGAATAAGGAACAGCCTGGAATTATAAATTTTCCTTTATAAATGCAATGCTACAAAAAAGTTATTTTTGCTGTATACTCACTTCAATTTTTCTAAAATTAAGAATTTTTTTTATACAAAATTTTCTTTTTTAATATGATAATTGATCTTTTTTTAAATTAAAAAAGATATTCTTAAATAAAGTAACTTTTTTTAGAAATTAGCAAGTATGAAAACATTTTGTTTTAGAATTGAATTACAAATTAGTTCCAAATTTCTTCAAATGCACGTAATTTTATCAAAATTGAAGGTTGTAGATAGCAATTTTCGTATTCAAGCTCATTGAATTTTCACTTTTACATTTCTCTCGTTACACTCACCGCCGAAAATCACTTTCAAATAGCAAAAGCCTTAAAGCATTATTTCCAAGTTCAAGCGTGGAATATTAAACACGAAGTGTAAAAAAAGACTCTCACACAAAATTTGTTTCTACTTGACCGAAAACAAAAAAAGAAAGATGCTTGCCCACAGTCACAAGAAAGTGAAAAAATAATCACCCGCTCGCGTGTACCACTGTGAAGTGCACTACAAATTGTGTCGAATGAAAAATGAACTAGTCTAAGATATATAAATGCAGTGACGTCGGGAGCGAATCTCAGCTAAATGTATTTCACGCAGTCGTCGTCGTCATTTGTTATTCTTCCTTT